CCCCCAGGAGTGCCTTGGGATTTGGGGAATGGCTGGTGATGGGCAGCAGGGCACCCAGCTGTGGGTGTGCACTGCGATGTCCAGATGTGATGGACAGTTGTTATCCTGCTGTGATGGGCACTGGGATGTCCAGTACTGATGGACAGTTGTTGTCCGGCTGTGTTGGGCACTGGGGTGTCCAGTACTGATGAACACTTGTTGTCCAGCTGTGATGGGCACTGGGGTGTCCAGCTGTGGTGAGTGGTATGTGTCCAGCTGTGGTGGGCAGTAGCTATCCAACTGTGTTGTGTACTGCTCTGCAATGGCTCCATCCCATCCCAGCTACCTCTTAGCCCCAGGCAATCCCTTTTCCTGTACAGCGGTGCATTATTTATACAGTCCAAATCGATCGGAAGATGATAACGGCTTCATTAGCATCTGAGCATCGTGCCGGCCTCAGCGCCTGACACGACCTTGGCTGCAGGAGTACAAGCTTTTCCCTGTCAGGACCAGCTCCCTGATGTCACCATCATCACTAGACCCAGCTAGGGGTGCTGTGCCCATTCGGTGGGGTCCCCACACTGTCACATGCTGCCATGGGGAATCAGACCCACCCATGCCAGGGCTCCTCGTGCAGCCCCGTTGTTTGCGTGGCACTCGTCAGCAGGGATATAATTAAGAGCAGCTATTTTGGATGCTTCCTTTATCCGGCAGCTCCCAGCGATGCCGCTGCAGGATCCTCCCCCTGTCTCTGAAACAGGCGCTTGCCTTGAATGTCTTCCCTGTGGATACTCACTGCCTGTGGGGTCCTGGGGGTCCTGTTGTGTTTGCGGGAGGGCACACGCAGGGGTCCGGCTGCCCACGTCGGCTGGGGAGTGGGTTACAGCAGGGCTGGGGTTGGAGGGGAGGGGGATCACTGCAGAGGGATGATGGAAGGGATGGAGAGGAGCATTTGGGGGGGGTTCTCCTGGCTCATCCGCTGCCGCCATGCTGGGGGGGGGGCAGCCGTGCTTTCCCCTCATTAAGGAGATGTTGATTTAGCAGAGGCTGGAGCCATCTGCTTGGAGCAACTGCCTGCTCCCTGCTCCCTGCTCCCTGCTCTCTGCTCCCTGCCGGAGGGAGCTGGGTGAGGATGTGCTTCGTCAGTGGGGGCTTGGCCGGGGGCCCCCAGCCCCGGCTGGGCATCGATCGCTGCTGGCACTGCGCTGGCTGCAGACACAGGGGCTGGTGTGTGAGCACGTGAAGAGGTGCCGGGAAGGGAGAAGAGTCCCCCCCCAGGCACCAAGGAGTCCCACTGTGGGGGGCCATGGCCTTGGACATGTGTGCAGGGATGGGGCTGGAGCAGCTGGGAATGGGATTCTCCCACCAACAGGTATTGGGGTGCCTGGAGCTGTGGTTGGTCACAGTCTCATCAGGGCATACACCGGGGTGCCTGGAGCAACAGCTGGGCACAGGGGTCTCCATGCTGGGATACCTGGAGAAGTGATTGGGTCCAGGGGTCTCCCCACGGCATGTACTGGGATGCCTGGTGCAGCAGTTGGGTGGGGGGGTCTCCCTGTGGCCATGCACCGGGATGCCCAGAGCTGTGGCTGGGCACGGGGATCTCCCCCCGGCGTGCACCAGGGTGCCTGGAGCAGCTGCCAGGCCCAGTGTGAGGAGCCAGGGTGGTGCACGGCTGGGCCCTGGGGTCGGGCAGTGCTGCTCCCTCGTGCGTGCCCGGCCCTGCACGTGCGGGTGGCTCGTGCGTGGCCCGTCGCGGTGCCCGTGAGGCCGGGCCCGGCCAGGAGCTCGCAGCACGCGGAGCACCAGCCTGAATGCAAGCGTGCACTGAGCTCCTGAGCTCCCTGTGTTTAAGTGGAGGCATTTCTGGGAGTAGTGGCAGGGCTGCTCCCCGCGGCGGTGTTTACTCTGGCAGACGCTGTTTATAGCTGGTGTCGATGGCAGACGCTGCGGCTCCCGGTGCACGCAGGAGCCGCCGGCTGCAGCCACATCCGGAGGTGCTGGAGCGCGCTGGATGGATCCCGTGTTTCCCCCTTCCATGGGGCCAGTGATGTGGTCCTGCCCTGGGATGCTGCTGGGGTGCAAGGTGCTCTGAGAGCTTTGGGGAGCCATGCCAGGAGAAGGAAGGGGAGCCCTGTGCTCCCACATGGCAGGGCCATCACCTGAGCAGCCTGTGGGGAGCCAAGAGGGGACATTGTGGTGTCCCAGGGATGGTGGGGGGGCTCAGGAGGTCAGAGCAAAGAGCAAAGAGCCACCCCTCCCACATCACCTGCCTGATGGCATCTGCTTGTGCGTGGAGAGGGCAGGATGGTGTTACAGGTGCTCGGTGGTCCCCGACACCCCTCCAGTGGTCTCAGCAGAGGGGACAGCCAGGAACACGCTGGGTGCCCACTGGCAGCATTGGCTGTGCAGGAGCCCTGCTTTCCTCCCTGCTGTGCCTGTCTCCTTTTGTAGCTGGTATTTTTAATTAGAAGTGCTCAGGTCCCTTCTCTCTCCCTCGTTAGTGGAAGAGTTTTCCTTGTGCTTCCCAGCCATTAATGAGCTCTCACAGTTCTTGCTGCCCTCCGACAGGCTGCAAATCCCACTATGGGTCTGGTGATGTGTCAGGTCTCCATCCTACTCCCCTGCTCTGGGAACTGGGGTTATTCTGAGACCCCAGCTGGGCTCCATGCTCCAGCTGCCTTCAGCATGCTGGCGGCCACTTCCAGAGCTTTAAGGAAAGTCAAACCACTGCATGGCTGGAAGTCACTGACTAAGCACTTGGCACGGGCAGTGATGGAAGTGCTAAACAGATTTTGGCAGCCGCAACCTCTCCTGCAGGTGCAGGGAGGAAAAATTTGCCGCTATGGTGTGTTGGAGTGCCGGTGGTTTGGGTGATGCCGGGGTGGCACACGTGCCTGGGGATCGCCAAAGGCGTCACTGCCGCACCTGCCACCCCGATCCCCGGGCACTGCCCCATCCCAGCCCCTTGCTGGGATCAACCCGTGGGAAAGGCCAGGCACCGCAGACCTGCTGACATCCCTCCGTCCATCTGCAAGGACCGATTAGCCGGAGCGGGGCCCGTCTCGGGGCTGGAGATCGGAGCCAGTGCTGGGCACGGTGCCGCTCCTGCGTCCACCGGCTCCCTTTGTCCACTGACCCTTCGTATCCCTGGGGGGCAGCCCGGCCCCCTTCTCCTGGGAGCTGGTTCTTGGCGTGGGGAGGCAGCGGAAGCGGCGCTGGGCTCCTCTCCACCGGAGCTGAATGGCACCTTTGTTGGGGAGGCTGGCGGCAGCTCGGGGCTGGTGGGGACCCGCTCGACCCCGGCCACTGCCATCGGTCCCAGCGTTGGGGCAGCTCTGCCCACCAGTAATGTCCGATTCTTGCCAGGGGAGCATGAGGATGCTGGGGCAGGAGTGGCATTTGGGGCTTCTGTGGTGTTCCTGTCCCTTCCTGCACTCAGGACCCTGCAATGCCTCTGTCCCTCCCTGCACCCTGGGGACCATGTGGTGTCCCTGTCCTCCGTGCACCCTGGGCACCCCATATACTCTCATCCCTCCCTGCATTCTGGGTACCCCTTGGTGCCCCTGTCCTTCCTTGCACCTTGAGACCCTGCAGTGGCCCCTTTCCTCCCCACATCCTGGGGACCTTGCAGTGCCCATCCCTCTTCACACCCAGGAGAACCAGTCATGTCCCCATCCCTCCCTGTGCCCTGGGGACCCCACAGTGCCCCTTCTCATCCCACAGCCACCCCGTGGCACTGCATGCCAGGAGGAGAGCCTGGCACCCAGGGGCCGGAGGCTGGTCACTGTGGCTGATGGAGCCCATCCCCGGCAGCTCTCGCCTGTCACACTGGGCTGTCTCAGTGTTAGCAAATGTCCTGCAGCTCAGACTGTTGGGCAGTCACAGAGGGAGGGAGGGAGGGAGGGAGCGTGGGCAGGGAGAAACCTCTGCCACCGTCCCAGCCGCTCCTGGGACCACATGCACCGTGTGGCACAGGCAGGGCTGGCTCAGCCCAGCACCGCTCCCCAGGCTTGAGGATCAGGGCTGGACACAGCCACCCTTCCTGCTGCTGCTGCCCTGTTTATCCATGTGCCCAATAATTCAGTATCTCACAGGGATGCTGACAAGGGAACACGGTACAGGGAGCATGAGCAAGGCCATGGCTGTGGTGCACAGGGAGCATGTCTTTGGCCCCATATCCCTCTTCCCTGCCTGAAGTAGCCCCTTCCAGTTGGCTTCTCCTAACGAGAGCTTGTCCCTGGCATACTGGTTCCTGGCATGCTTCCAGCTGAGCTTCTGAAGTGAGGATTCAGGGGATGAGGATGGCAGGGTGAGTGACTTTGGCTGCCCCTTCTCCTGGCCAGGCCATGCCACCTCTGGGTCATCTCCCACAGACTTATGGCTGTGCCAGTGCCATCTCGCTGTGGGGGACACAGGGGCTGCTGTGTGGGCCCCCAGACCAGGGCTCTGCCAGGCTGCACCCACCCTCCTCCTCCTCCTCCTGCTCCTGCTCCCGCTGGGGGAAGAACAGCTCACTGGAAAGCCTGAGTGGCATTTTTCGGGTAAATCTTATGTAAATCTGGCTCCATCCTTCCTCGTGCTGCTAATTGGATTGCCCCGAAGGGGTTTAATTTCCCACGAAGGGAAGTGTGGGGTGGGCAGTGCCGGGCGGGGGCTGCAGGGCAGGGGCCGTGCTGGGGTGCAGGGGAGGGTGCTGAGCTCCTCGCTCTGCCAAAGCAGCCCAGTGTGAGCCTCACAGGGCCACGCTGGAGCCCCGGGCACGTGAAGCAGCCTGGGAGGGAAACCAGGTGAATGGGGAGAACCTGGTGCCAGGAGGGGCCCCACCTTGAGGGGGGACCTTCACCCTGAGCCCTCCTGCCTTCACCTGCCTGCAGCATCAGGCAAGCCTCACACAGCACCTGTGGAGCTGCAGGGAGCCCCAACCTTGGTAGGGAGGGAGACCTGGAGCTGCCACCTCCCTGATGTGTTCCTGCCCTGGTCACCTCCTCTAACATGCTGTCCCCTTCCCTCCCTCCCAGAGCTCCTTGGATCGGCAAAGAAAGTCAACGTCAACTTCCAAGACACCGACGGGTGAGTGGGAGCCCCGTGCCCGGTTGTGTGTGCTGTGGGGTGCACAAAATGGGGGGTGTGCTGTGGGGTGCACAAAATGGGGGGTGTGCTGTGGGGTGCACAAAACGGGGGGTGTGCTGTGGGGTGCACAAAAACGGGGGGTGTGCTGTGGGGGGCCATGAGCAGGCATGTGCGTGCCGTGGGAGCCTGGTCCGTGCAGGAATGCCAGGCTCCCTGAGCGATGCAGCCGAGCTGATGCGTCTGGTCCTGGGGCTCTCAGCCCCGTTAGCCCACGTGGCCGAGCCCTGCCTGCACCCAGAGCCGGTGGTCTCACACAGAGCTGCCCCGGGCCCCGGAGGAGGCAGGAGGTGAGGGCTGAAGGGCGGAGGAATGGCCGTGCCCCACGTCTCACCACCCCTTTCCCAGCCCTTTGGGGCCCTGTGGGCGCTGTGCAGGGATCAGCCCTGCAGGGTGCCGGGTGGGAGAGCCGTGACCCCGCCGGCTGTGCCACCGGCGCTCCGCAGCCGGCATCCAACGGGCGGGACCGCAGGCTCACGTCCCGCTAATCACGCTAATGAGGCCGTCGGCACAGGGAGGCAGCCGGGGTCCCGCGCAGGAGGGGCTGCGATGGGAGTGATGCTTGTGGGGCTGGGCAGCGGCTGCCCCTGTGTCCTCGGGCTCCCCTCGCCCTGCAATCCCACCCCTTGAGTGGGCCAGCAGGACGATGCCACTTTGTCCCTGGGGATGGCTCTGCCGTGGCCGTGGAAATGGCAGTGAGCAGAGGGGTCAGGTGGGATCAGGAATGGGAGGCCATGCCCTGGGGAACATGCAGCCACAGCACCGGGGTCCGTCCTCATCCTCGTCACTGGGGCAGTGGCAGCGGCATCCCCTGGTACCTGCCAGCGCATCGGCCGTGCCCGTGTGCACGTGTGTGCGGGCAGAGCGTGTGCAGCCGAGCAGGCGTGGCCACGGGAGCGTGTCCGTGTGTGCCGCGGGTGTGCACAGTGTGGGGCAGCAGTGGGGCGGGTGGGCACGACGTGGGCAGGGCAAGGGGGGCATCACCCCACGGGCCACCTCGTGGTCCCCGGCGCTGGCAGGGGGAGCTGCAGGCAGGGCCCTGCTCATGTGCTGCTCATATCCTGCCTATGGATCCTGGATGGCTTGGGGCTGCAGGAGCAACAGGGCAGCAGCCTCCAGCCTCCAGCGCTGCTCCTGGGAAGGATTCCCCGGGGAAGACATAGGGCAGACCCAGGCTGCAGCCTGTGTGTGCTCTGCCCTGCCGCTGGCGTGGGCTCAGCCAGCCCCGTGCCTTGGTTTCCCCATCCCTGCTGTGCTGGCTGATTCCTGGCTGGCGGGCACCGTGGGCAGGCACCGTGCTGCTGTCCCTGTGCCTGCCCTGGGGACGGTGCCCTCCGTGTGGAGACGTGGCCGGCTGGGCCGTGCGGTGCCCGGGGGAAGCCCCCGAGGCAGCCCCGGGGAGGGCTGTGATTTGCACCATCTTGAGCGGATTTGAGCAGGGCGCTGGAGCGGAAAATGTTGACATTTCCCAGGCAGACGTTGGGGATCGGCCTCCTGTGCAAGCTGTCTGCTCACATCGCCGCTCCCCACCGGGGATCGCGGGCGGCAGCTCCGTGGGGATCGTGGTGGCCAGAACATGTTCCTCACGGGGATGTGTCCCCCTCAGCTGGGGGCCTGGGGACGGGGGACAGAGGAATTGTTACCCCACCCCCCACCTCTCGGGCACTGGGCAGCCCCGGGGGCCCCACTGGGGTCCACAGCCCATTCCCATGCTCCGGTGACAGCAGGGTGGCCCCGAGGATGTGATGGGGATGCTGTGCATGACCAGGGCCCAGAGCAGTGGGGTGGTGGGTGCCAGCACAGCCACATGGAGGATGCCACCGCCAGGAGCAGCAAGTAGGTCAGCTCCTGGCCTGCTTCCCAGGCGTGAGCCTTGGGGCCGAGTGCTGCAAGAGCAGAGCAGGGTAAGCGCCAGGGCCTTTCCCCGCCCCACTGCCAGGCTCAGCGCCCGACAAGGGCACCACTGCCATCTGTGCTCGTGGCCGTGCTGCCGGGGCCAGGCTGGGGGAAGTGGGTCAGTGGGGAGTGGGCTCTCTGCACCGTCACCCTCCATGGGACACCCTGTGCCCACCCTGCCCACAACCTTCAGCCCTGTGGGGTCTCATCATCCTCAGGGAGCTGGGTGTAGGCTCGAGGCCATGCTGCCAGGTGGAGGGCATGTGGACTTGGGACCCTGACTCCACCCCGGTCCCCAGGTTCTCGGCCCTGCACCATGCGGCGCTCAACGGCAACACGGAGCTCATCTCGCTGCTGCTGGAGGCACAGGCTGCTGTGGACATCAAGGACAACAAAGGCGAGTCCCCGGGTGTCCTGGCAATGCCCCCCACCCCCGTGCCCCTCTGTGGGCTCTGCTCTGGTGTGTTGGCACACTGAGGGGCTCATGGTGTGCTCCTCCTGCCCCTGCAGGCATGCGGCCCCTGCACTATGCGGCCTGGCAGGGCAAGAAGGAGCCCATGAAAATGGTGCTGAAGGCAGGTTCCTCCGTGAACATCCCATCGGATGAGGGCCAGATCCCCCTGCACCTGGCGGCACAGCACGGGCACTACGACGTGGTACGGCAGGGCACAGGGGTGGCAGGGGGGAGATGGTGCCACCCCCATCCCCTGCCCTCACCGAGTCGGGGTCTCGCTCCTCTGCAGTCGGAGATGCTCCTGCAGCACCAGTCCAACCCCTGCATCATGGACAACTCGGGGAAGACGCCCTTGGACCTGGCGTGCGAATTTGGCCGGGTCGGGGTAAGTCCTTGCAGGGCTGGGACCCCCCAGAGGAGGACTGGAACAGGATGGGGCACAGCAAGGTCCCTGGGGGTGCTAAACAGCCGAGGGGGAAGCACAGGGGAGCCCCAGAGGTGGCCAGCACTGGGGACCTGTGGTGCCACCACTGCAGGGGATCTCCGGCCACTGGCGAGAGGGCAGGCGGGGGCCGGGGGCATCGGGAGGGCCAGGGGACCACCCACAGCCCCGGGGGGCGGCCGAGCCGCCCTTGCAGCCCTGCTCCGTCTGTGTTTGCTGAGCCAGGTGGTCCAACTGCTCCTGAACAGCAACATGTGCGCGGCGCTGCTGGAGCCCAAACCGGGGGACACCACCGACCCCAACGGCACCAGCCCCCTGCACCTCGCCGCCAAGAACGGCCACATCGACATCATCCGGTGGGTGCTGTGGGTGGAGGGGCAGCGCCGGTGCCCCCCCCGTGCCCTGCTGACCCCCTGCCCCCCCGCAGGCTCCTGCTGCAGGCTGGCATCGACATCAACCGGCAGACCAAGGCAGGCACGGCGCTGCACGAGGCTGCTCTCTGCGGCAAGACAGACGTGGTGCGGCTGCTGCTGGATGTAAGGACCCCCCCGGCACCCCCAGACACCCCCTACCCAGCCAGGGACTGCAGGAAGAAGGTGACCCTGCAACTGGGGGCTCAGAGAAGCTTGTGCAACTTCACCAGGGAGTGGGGATGAGGGTCCTGGAAGGGATACACCAAGGCAGTGAAGGTCCTGGGGCGGGGGGACACCAAGGCGGTGAGCTGTGCCCTCCAGCTGCTGGTCTCCTGGTGGACCATGGGGTCCAAGGGGGTGGCAGGACAGGGGCAGCCTCCTCCCAATCCCTCTCGGTGCCGTTGCAGAGCGGGATCAACGCCCACGTCAGGAACACCTACAACCAGACAGCTCTGGATATCGTCAACCAGTTCACCACCAGCCAGGCCAGCAAGGAGATCAAGCAGATGCTGCGGGGTAGGGGGTTGGGGGGCACATGAAGGCCGTGCTGGTGTGGGGGGGCGCTGGGCTGGGGGTGCCAATCCCTGCGGGGTGGGCAGGAGGTGATGCTCCCGCTCTGTCCCGCAGACGCCTCCGCCGCTCTGCAGGTCCGGGCCGTCAAGGACTATTGCAACAATTACGACCTGACCAGCCTCAACGTGAAGGCCGGGGACGTCATCACCGTGAGTGCGGCGGGGGGGGCCGGGACACCCCGGTGTTGGTGCCAGCCCCTGACCCGGCCCCTGCCCGCAGGTGCTGGAGCAGCACGCGGACGGGCGCTGGAAGGGCTGCATCCACGACAACCGCACCGGCAACGACCGCGTGGGATACTTCCCCTCCAGCCTCGTCGAGGCCATAAGCAAACGAACAGGCAAATAATCCCCCCCCCGCCTGCCCCCAGCCCCGGGGAGCCCCGTGTTGGTCTGGTGGGGACTGGGGTGTTTGGGGGGTGCAGCAGTGCCAACAAACCCAGGCGATGCCCCGCTGTGCATGTGGGGTCTGTGTCCCTGCCGTGTGCATGGGGACGGTGCCTTCGAGTGTGCAGGGTCAATGTCCCTGTTGTGCAGGTGGGGCCAGTGCCCACCTGGTGCCTGTGGGAGTCGGTGCTGGCAGCCCCAGGGTGTTCATGGGGCAGCCCCAGGCTGCCCTCAGGGGGAGGTATTACTTGTGGTGCTGGGAGCTTGGTGCATGAGGAGACCCGGGGGCATCACTGTGGTTTTGGGGGGCCAGTGCAGCAGTGGGGTCACAGAACCTGGTGCTTGAGGTCTGCACAGGGGGCTGGGCACCAGTGCCAGGGACCTAATGCTGCTCCATGGAGACCTTCTCCCCAGCCAGGGGCCGTCCCAGGGGTCGGACCCTGCTCCTCTTGCGCAGTGCTGCCTGTTCCTGTCCCCATTCCATCCCCATCCCCCTGGTAGGGTGCATGTCCCCTTTGGGACGGCCCATGGCTGTGCCCATTGCCAGGAGCATTGTAGTAGGTTTGAAAGGCCCTATATCAACCATCTCATCCCCTCTCGGGCGTGTGGACCTTGGGGGCAGCCACGTTGTGGGGACACAGGCAGGAAATGGTGGCACTTGAACAAGATCTCAAGGGAGTGGTGGCATGAGTACCCACTGGCTGCCGGGCACTCCACACCAGCTGTGGAGGTGCCAGGCGCTGGACAGGCAGGGACAGAGCCACCCTCCTGGTGTGGGTCACGTGCCAGTGCCATGGCATGTGGTCCGTGGCTCCTGGAATGCGATCTGGGCTGCAGTCCATGGCTCCTGGGCTGTGGTCCGTGGCTCCTGGGCTGTGGCTGGCCCCCCAGCAGCATTAGCCAGGCTGTGGGGTTCCATTGCCACCCCATCGGCTGCAGGGCTGGCAGAGCTGGGAGCGAGTGCTGAGCCAGGGCTCAGCCACCTGGGCATGGGGGTGCCAGCGCTGCAGCCTCCGGCCCAGCTGTGCCTGCAGCCCTGCTCCCCCTGGATGCCTCCATGGGGAACAGGACCCCCACGAGCCCCCATGCTGTCCCATGCGTGGGGCTGTCCCAGTGTCCGTGTCGGATCCACGGGATGTGCCCGTACCCTGCACTGGGCTGGGTGTGTGCTGAGCTCCTGCTGCTGCTCCTCGGCTCGGCTCTGGATCGGTTGGATCTCAGTTCTGGCTTCTCCACGTCCCTTTGGTTGCTTTTTTGATTTGCTGCTTTTTTTCCCCCCTTCCTTTAATTTCCTTTCCTTCCCTTCCTTTTTTTTTTTTCCTGGCGGCACTGAGTGTGTCTCTATTATTTTGATTCTTTTCATTTTGTCTCTTGTTATGTTTTATTATCAGGTTCATGGGAGACTGTAACAATCCCCCAACACTTCCAAAAGATCCCGCTCCCGGCTTACGGGGCTGCTGTGCTAAACGGTGACGCCTCGTCCCATCCGTTCCATTCCCTGCCTCCACCTCCACCTCCACCACCACATTCCCATCAGACTCTTTTCAGTTCCTTTGGCTATCACAGGCTCTCCCCTAGCAGTGCCGACGAGCCGCATTATGGACAAGGTAGTTCACCGCTCGCTTCGTGCTCTCCATGGATTTTTCTTTCTTTTTCTTTGAAGCGTGTGTCGAGTCTTTTCTCTCTGCTCGGCCTCTCCCTCCTGGCCGGGGGGTTTGCACGCGGGTGTGCACAGGCGTGTGCACGTGTGTGCATGCAGCGTGTGCATGCGTGTGCGTGTGCATGTGTGCAGTGGGTGCAGCGGGTGCACACACATGGCACGCGCATGCCATCGTCCCCCTGCCCTCACACCCGCGCCAGCGCCGCTGTCACACCTTATGTCCCACGGCTCCGCTGCCGGCACATCCCACCCCCCCGCCCCGGCGTCCCCGTGCTCTGCCCATGGCCCCTGCACTCCTGTCGGGGTGCGTGGGGACCCCAAACCACCCTCCCAGCTCTGTGCCAGGGGCAGGGCTGGCAGCACAGTGCCCAGATGGGAGCCACGGGCACAGGCACCCTCTGCCTGCCTCAGCATCCCTGCAGGGTGTTCGATTCCCAGCTCTGGCTGGGTTGGGACTGCACACTCAGAGTGGGAAGGGGCTGCGGCAACAGGGGGCTTTCCCAGGGAATGCTCCTGGGGCTGGCCCAGCGCTGGCAGAGCCCAGCAAAACCCTGGGGACCATCCCTGTGGCACAGGCAGGTGACGGATGCTGTGGATCTACGTGTCGGGAGCGCCCTGGAGCAGGGGGATTGCAGGGGTGCAGCCCATGCTGTGCCCACGGGGCTGCCCCAGCTGGCTGGGGTCAGGGTCTTTGCATGTTCCCTGGTGGCAGCGGCACAGGAGGTCGTGTTGGGGAGCACCGGGTGACGTGCTCGCAGTGGTGACAGGGCAGCACATCTTCTCCCCGGGGCTTTCTCTCCCTGTGGGGTCACACAGAGCCACACGCTTGCCCAGGCTCCTCTTGGTGTGACCGTGGCATGTGCAGCTCAGGGATGTCTCAGCCCAGTTTGTTGTGGACGTTTGTTCCCCCTGTTGCTCCTTCAGTGACTTTATCCCCCTGTACCAACCATCCCCTGCTATGCTTGGCGCTGACGGGGTGAGGGCTCCGTGAACAGAACTGGCCTGGGTGGCAGGGGGGTGGCAGGGGGGTGACAGTGTCCCACGGCTGGCAGAGTAGCAATGCCCCATGGCCAGTGGTGGGGTGGCAATGCCCTGAGGCTGGCAGGGGGCTGGCTAAGCTATGGTGGGGCTGCAGCAGCACTGGCCTCGTAAGGCTGTTGTCCATGTCATCTGATGCTGTTTTAACCCCTGGGCTCAGAGATGGGTGTGCCTGGTGCGAGTGGGACCTGGCAGAGGTGGGCAGCATAGAGGGTGAGGAGCCATGGCCACGGGTAACCTTCAAACTGTGCCTTGCCAGGAGGATCGGATCCTCTTACCCACTGCTGTGTCCCCTGTGTGTTCCTGGGGTTTCACTGCTTGAGTTTGCCCAGCTTCCTTTGCTCCCTGCACCGAGTCATGCCCCCATCCTGCTCTGTGCAGGGACAACACTGTCATCGTCCCCTGCCCGGGTTCAGCTGGGGCACTGGGACACCCCACCACATCTGTCCCTGGCTGACAGCAGGGAGGGGATGTCCTGCAGGATGGTATCCCAGGGCTGGTCATTGTCACCCTGTGCCAGCTGCTTGGGAGGGGAGCAGCCAGGGGGACAGCTCTGGTGCCCTTGGGCACGGCCGCAGCCGGGGTCCCCACACCTTGCCTGTGGGGTTCTCCCTGCGTGGGGCAACACCAGGCCCGGGGTGGCGGGTCCTCCGCCCTGTGCCCACCCCAGTGCGAGCCGAGTGCCGAGCCACGGGCCTGATGGCCCTCTCTCTGCTCTGCCACCAAGGGTCTCGCGGGGCCGACATGAGCCCGTCCCACCTCTCGCCGTCGCAGGGCGGATCGGCCGCGCCAGCCCCCGCCGAGGAGATCTGGGTGCTGCGGAAACCCTTTGCGGGTACGGTGAGCGCGGACAGGACCCTCCCTGTCCCCGGGGAGCACGTGCCAGGACGTGGCGGGGGCTCTGGTGGGGCATGGCCGCACCACAGCGTCCCCTGACCGTGGGGCTCAGCGCCCTGACAGCCCTTCCTCTCTCTGCAGGTGGTGACCGCAGCAGCCTGGGCAGCACGGGCAGCGTGGCCTCTGCCCGCAGCTCGGGGAGCGGGCAGAGTGCGGGCAGCGGGGCACACGCCCTGCACGCCGGCTCCGAAGGCGTCAAGGTAAGGCAAACCCTGAAGGGGCCATGCCAGCTGCTGTGGCACTCGGCTCTGGTCCTGGCAGTTTGCTGCCCGTGACCTCGGCTGGTATTGATGCTTGAGTGGGTGTTGTGCAGTCCCATCGGTGCCCAGCGGGCCACCAGCCGCGCTGTCACTGGCAGTGGCCACCAGCGTGTTCCCTCCACCTGGCCCCTCACTGCTGCCCGGGCCTGGGCTCAGCCCCCGGCACGACATTCCACAGGTCCACCCGGAGCTGCCGCGCCTCTGCCGCCACTCGCAGGGGCCTCCGCACTGCGCTGCGCTGCCCACGCTGCTGCCCCGGCACCGCGCACTGCCCCCGGACCCAGCCCCGCACGGCACAGCGCCCACCGCCCGCTGCGCTGCTGCCCCCGGCACGCACCGATGGCACACAGCCCCCTCCCTGCACCGCCTGTGCTCTGCCCCTGGGCCGTCCCGTGCCCGGGCTGTGGCACAGCCCACCTCCCCTGGCATCCCTCCTGCGCCATGCCCACGTGCCCCCGGGCCGCACCGCGCTGCCAGCCAGGGGGGCTCTGTTTCGTGGGCACGGAGGACCCCGTGGGCACGGAGGACCCCGCAGCCTGCACCAGCAGCCTGGGCTGGGCATGTGCCAGGCTGGATTTGGGGTGCTGTGGTGCCGCGGTGCCGTGGGCTCCTGCCGCCGGCAAAGCACCATCTGCTGCTCCCGCGGCTCCATCTCTCCCCGCTGCAGCCGAAATCTGCCGCAACCCTCCCTTGCCCACCCTTGCCCGGGCTGGCGGCACCCGCAGCACCCACGGCACCCACGGCACCCGCGCCACGTGCCCCCCGCGCCCCCGGTCCCCGCCGCCGCCTCACTCCTGCCTTGCTCTCCCCCCTTCCCGGGGTGTTTTTCAGCTGCTGGCAACGGTCCTTTCCCAGAAGGCTTCTGCGCAAGAGTCTGCCGTGGGCGATGGGCCGGCCAAGGCGCAGGACATCCCCGCAGGTGCGTGCTGCGGCCGCCCGGCTGCCGGAGCAGGAGGAGCCCTGGCCGTGCCGTGGATCCAGGGATTTGTCTTTTTTTTTATTGCCACGGCACCCATCGCCAGAAGAAAAACGTGTGGGTAAAAAATGACTCTGTCGCCTTTCGGCTGCTGCCAGGCCTTCTCCTGCCTCGGTTAGTGGGGGCCCGTGGGGGGCGGGGGGCGGCGTGGGCGGGCAGGGGGGCACCGCTGCTCCCCGGCCCCTTCCCTTCCCTGGCCCCCCGCCAGCCCCGCCGGAGCCCGAGCCGGGGTCCCCCCCGCCACCGCCGTCTGGGGGGGCTGCGGGGAGCATGGCCACGGCGCGGGGGTGGCCACGGCACGGGGGTGGCACATGCCTGGGGAGGGGGATGCACACGTGGGGGTGTGCGCGGGGGGATGTGTGAGCTGTGGAGAGGGACAGGAAGCAGGGAGAGGAACCCGGGGAGGGGGATGCGCACACGGAGAGGGGATGCACACATGGAGGGGGGTGCACACGCAGGGAGGGGGGTGCAGACATTGCCAGGGAGGGGGGAAAACATGCTGGATCGATGCAGACACAAGTGGGATGCAGACGTGAGGGAGATGCACATGGCAGAGGGATGCACATGGGAGGAGGATGCCCACGCGAGTGGGAGGCAGATGCCCGAAGGATGCACACGCAAGGAGGATGTACGAACACACACTCAAACACACACACACAGACAGAGCAGGGGGATGCACACACACACACACACACACACACACACACACACACACACACACACACACACACACACGGAGGATGCAGTCACTGGTGGGAGGAAGGGTCTGCTCTTGCTCATCCCGATCAGAAATATGAGGCAGAAATTTCGGGGCAGCCCCCATCACCCCCAGCTGGAGGGTGGTACCATGAGGTGCCTGTGTGGGTGTCCTGGGTGGTGAGTAGCTCGTGCCAGCCTGCCTGGTTGGTGACGTGGCTGGAGGAGCAGGGCTGGAGGGTTTTGGGCAGTGGGACCCCTCTGGCCGCTGCCTGGGGGAGAGGGGCAGCCAGGAACACCTGCTCTGAAGGAGAGGTCTGGCTGGGACCTGCTGCCCAGGGCTGGATGGAGGGCACAGCAGCCCCCCGACCGGGCTGGGGGCTCACCCACCCATCCCAGAGGAGCAGACCTCCTGTCCAGGGCACCCCAGGGTGCTCCGGGCTGCTGTGCCGGGGCAGGTGTCCCTCTCCTGTGCCTGCCCTGGCCCTGCCAGGCTGGGGGCTGTGCCATGACATCCCACCTGGGGCGGGGGCTCGGCTCCCCCCTCCGCGTGGCCGGACCCCAGGGGTGGGAACCCCCCCGCTGACCACTGCCCCTCCGGCAGGTTCGTCGCGGTCGCAGAGCGTGGCCAGCTCCCCGTACGCCCCCCAGCCCCCTGCCGAGCCCCAGCTGAAGAAAATGGAGCCACCGTCAGAGGGGAAGGTGAGTGGGAAGCACTGGGGTGCCGTGGGGAGCACGTGGTGGGGACACGGGCAGGGCTGATGGGTCCCTGTCCCCGGAACTGCCTCGACCCATCTGTCCCTCTCACCCCAGAGCTCGGAGGCCGTGTACCAGTGGCTCTGCAAGTTCCAGCTGCAGCTCTACGCACCCAACTTCATCAACGCCGGCTACGACATCACCACCATCAGCCGGATGACGCCAGAGGTGAGGCCACAGGGCCGTGGGAGGGAGGCAGGGCTGGATCAGGGCGGCACTGACCCCCCTCTCTGCCCCAGGACCTCACGGCCATCGGCGTCACCAAGCCGGGGCACAGGAAGAAGATCAACAACCTCAGCATCCCCGAGTGGCTGCCGGAGTACAAACCGGTGAGGGTTGTGTGGGGCCGTGGGGCTGAAGCCACATCCAGGACAATTAATCCCTTCCAGGGAGGGGGTGGCACAGGGGGATGAGGGTGGGAGCTGGCTCACTGCTGCCGGATGATGCACACATCCTGGAGCTGCTCATGTCCCTCCCCGCAGCTCTGCAGGGACTGTCAGGCTGGTGCCAGCTGTCACCACGTGGATGTGACACTGTGGTGTCTCCTGACACCCCTCCTGCCCCATCATCTGCGCGCAGTGAGGGGCTTCCCATGGGAATGGGGCTGGACACAGCAAGGGGCTTCCCATGAGAACAGGGCTGGGCATGGCCCTGGGTGCTTGTGGGGCACAGAGACAGCACAGGGACAAGGGAAGTGCCCTGGAGCTGTTGTACCCCCACAAGATCGGATCTCCTGTGTGCCTCAGGTGCTGGGGTGCCAGGGGTGCCGGGGTCAGACCCTGGTGCCAGCTGGTGCTGAGCCATGCCCTGTGCCCCACCCCAGGCCAACCTGGCGCTGTGGCTCTCCATGATTGGCCTGTCCCAGTACTACAAGGTGCTGGTGGAGAACGGCTATGAGAACATCGACTTCATCACCGACATCACCTGGGAGGACCTGCAGGAGATTGGCATCACCAAGCTGGGTAAGGCTCTGTGCACAGCGCTGGCTGCGGTGGCCTTGGCGGTGACACTGATGCCCCGTGCCACCCCCAGGCCACCAGAAGAAGCTGATGCTGGCGGTGAAGAAGCTGGCGGAGCTGCAGCGTGCCGAGCTGGGCAAGTACGAGCCGGGCACGCTGAAGAGGAAGGCGTCGGGGCCGTGCCCAGAGGTGCTGGCCATCGAGTCCCCCCCACCGGAGCCACCCGAGTGCCAGTCGCCCAAGATGACCACCTTCCAGGACAGCGAGCTCAGCAGCGAGCTGCAGGTGGCCATGACGGGCGAAGCCCCCGAGGAGCCCCCTGAGAAGGTGGTGAACCCCCCGGCCCCCGGTTACCGCTCGCCGCCGGGCCTGGGTGGCCGTGCCAGGCTGATGAGCAGCTCCCAGGAGCTGCTGGGGGACGGCCCGCGGGGTCCCCCTGCCGCTGCCATCTCCAAGAGCCAGGAATACCTGGCGGAGGGAGCCGGTGAGGGCCCCCCTGCGCCACCCAAGGAGGGGCGCCCACCCCGGCACGGCCACCCCGTGAAGCGTGCCAGCGTGCCACCGGTGCCCGGCAAACCCCGGCAGCCCTTCCCGCCCTCCACTGGGCAGCTGACGCCGCCACAGACCCCCGGCAAGGCACGGCCCCCCTCTCCACAAGGGCCAGCTCTGCCCCACGCCACTGCCAAGGTGAAGCCCACCCCGCAGCTGCTGCCGCCCGGCGAGCGCCCCGCGTCGCCCCGCTCCCTGCCCCAGTCACCCACCCACCGCGGCTTCGCCTACGTCCTGCCACAGCCCGCCGAGGGCGAGGGGGCACCACCGGGGGTGCCCGTCCTGCCCGTCTCGGTGCCAGTGCTGTGCCTGCCTCCGGCGGGCGAGGGCGAGGAGGAACCGGGGAGGCCGAAGAAGCGGGCACACAGCCTGAACCGCTACGCCGCCTCTGACAGCGAGCAGGAGCGGGACGAGCTGCTGGTGCCGGACGCGGGACCCTATGCCACCGTCCAGCGGCGCGTGGGCCGCAGCCACTCGGTGCGGGCAGCCGCCGGCGGCGACAAGAACGTCAACCGCAGCCAGTCCTTCGCCGTCCGCCCCAAGAAGAAGGGACCCCCACCACCCCCTCCCAAGCGCTCCAGCTCCGCCATCTCCAGCGCCGGCATGGCCGAGGACTTCCCCAAGGAGGGTGAGGGCGAGGCAGCCGTCGGACCCCCGAGCGCTGAGGGGGAGAGCCGACGGGAGCAGCGGCGGGCCAGCGACCTGGGCGGCAGCGTGGACACGGGCAGCGCCGGCAGCGTGCGCAGCATCGCGGCCATGCTGGAGATGTCCTCCATCGGCGGCGGGGCCCGCGCGCTGGCCCTGCAGAAGCCGCACGTGGCCGGTGGGCCTGGGCCGGCCAAGGCACCCGACGGCTACTACCTGCAGCCGGGACCCCCCCCGGGCAGCCCCGACCGTGCCCGTGTGGCCACCGTCCTGGCCACCGTCAAGCACAAGGAGGCCATCGGGCTGGACGGGGAGGTGGTGAACCGGCGCCGGACCATCAGCGGCCCTGTCACCGGGCTGGTGGCAGCCGCCCGCCGCGAGCGCGCCGACAGCGTGCGGTCGGAGGCGGGTGCCGACAGTCCCGGCGAGCGGCTGCGGGTGGAGCGTGGCGGTTCCCCCGACGGCATCCCCTTCGCCGAGGAGGGCACCCTCACCATCAAGCAGCGGCCACGGCCCCTGGGGCCGGCCCGGGGGGAGGCGGGTGAGGGGCTGTCCCCAGCCCACCGCCATGGGGAGCTGGCCAAGGTGGAGGCCAGTGCCACTCTCAAGCGGCGGATCCGGGCCAGGCAGAGCCAGCAGGACGGCGTCCGCTTCGTCCTCACCGAGTCCGACACCGTCAAGCGCCGGCCCAAGGCCAAGGACAAGGAGCCGGCACTGGAGCCGGCCACACTCGCCGTGTACCAGAACGGCACCGGCACCGTGAAGCGGCGGCCGGCCTCCGAGCTGAGCGGGGCTGAGCCGCCCCCGACCCCGCCGCCCACTGCCCGCCCCGACGGCCCCGACTACATCCCACCGCCTGCCGAGCCCAAGAAGCCCTTCAAGCCACCGGTGTCCCCCAAGCCTGTGCTGACGCAGCCACCTCAAAAGGTGCCTGGGCCACCAGTGCCCATCCCCAAAAAGGTGCCCATCCCAAGCCCTGGCAGCCCAGGTAGGTGCCCCACCAGATCCCTGGGACAGGCTCTCCCCGGGACAGAGGCCGGGGGTCCCAGCTGGCCCTGCCGCCCTCCTGCCCCTCTCTCTTTTCTCCGCAGAGGTGAAGCGGGTCCATGGCACGCCGCCCCCAGTGTCCCCCAAGCCCACGCCGCCTCCCACGGCACCCAAGCCCCCCAAGCCCCACGCCGCCATCCAGTCAGTGAGTGCCAGCTCCACGCCGGCCCCGTCGCCTGCCCGGCAGCTGGGCCCCGCGGGCAGCAAGCCCTCCAGCACCCCGCCCTCGCTCTGCTCCAGCCCTGCCAAGCCCCTCTCACCTGGCGCGCAGCCCCAGCAGGTGCCGGTGAAGCCGCCGCGCTCCACCATCGCCAGCCCCTCCGTGGACAGCGCCGGCCCCGAGCTGGCGCAGCAGAAGCTGGAGGAGACGAGCGCGTCCCTGGCTGCTGCGCTGCAGGCTGTGGAGGAGAAGATCAAGCAGGAGGACAGTCAAGCAGAGTAAGGGAGTGCAGGGGGTGGTTGTTCCACAGGGAGGGTGCGGGACCGTGCGGTGCCACTGAGCACCAGAGGCCACAAGCACTGCAGGCAGGGATTGGGATGTGGCCACGTGGTGGGGGTGGGATGGTGCCAGGAGGGATTCTGGGGGACACTGGTGGAGCATCAGGGGACCTTGGCTGGAGCTGCATTGGGGAAGTGACACTGGGGGACACCGTGGTGGAGCAGCATGGGCAGCGAGACCTGGGCGTGTGGGTGCACTGGGGACATTGGCACAGAGCACTGCGTAGCAGCCTGGGGTCTGTATGAGCAGTGACACTGGGGACAGCGCTGAGCACGACAGGGGGGCAGAAGGGCTGTGGCACAGGGTGGTGGGGGCTGTGTGGTGTCCTCATCCCGTGCGTAGCCCTGACCCGTCCCGGTCACTCCCCAGCTCGGCCGTGGAGTCAAAGAGCACCGTGAGCATCCTGGATGACATCGGCAGCATGTTCGACGACCTGGCGGACCAGCTGGATGCCATGCTGGAGTGAGGGGCGCCAGGGCCCCGCGAACCTCAGGGCTTACGTGGGCACAAGGGCACAACGATCCACGACCCCCCGGCCCCGCCGCCCTCCCCCCGTCCCCTTTGTACAGCCGTCCCCTCCCGGACATCCCGTCCCTCGGGGTTTGCACAAAGAAGAAGATACCTCAGGATTGTGCTCACAGACTCGGCGCCGGCTCCGGCAGGACTCCCTTTTGCAGAAGCAAAAAAAAAAACAAAAACAAAACCCAACAGAAGAAACAAAGCAACACGTCCGGACCGAACCGCTGCCGGGGCTCTGGGAGGCTCTGGGGGGCTCCCGACCTCCCTGTCTGGTGGCCGCCCGTGCCCTGCCAGCCCTGGCGCCGCGGGTCACCGCGACCCGAATGTAGCACAAGCCCTGCCCGGCGGCCCCGGCAGTGGCTCCGCCAGCCACGTGGCACCGATGGCGTTTGCAAGTGGCGGGGCCGGGTGGGCAAATGCACTTGGGTTTCTTTGCTCCGTTTTTAATTTTTATTTTTTAAACTTTGTTTTCTTTCTCGGTTGGGGTTGGCGGGGGGCGGCCAGGGCAGCTCCGGGCTGGCGGCTCCCCGGGGGCAGCGGGACGTGCCCCTGCCCGGCCCCTCCCCGCCCGGGGACAGGACGGTGATAAGCTATAAAAGAAGTATTAATTTATTGGAGGGGAAAAAAAAAATAAAAAAAAAAGATATAAAGCAGATTTCCCCCACCCCCAAAATAATAAAAAGAAATAAACTTTAACAAATATATATTTAAAAGATTTTAAAATATTAGCAATTATATATAAAGCAGTTTAAAAGAAATCAAGAGAAAACTGGATTTTAGCTTGAGAAAAACTATTAGATTATACTAAGCTGTGTGTCTTGTGGCAAACTCATTCTACGAGTAGCACAATATTTACCTTTTCTCTGGGTGGAAGGTACGTGCGAGCGGTTCTGGTCGGGTTTTCCGTTGGGATTCAGTGTCACGTCTTTCTTTTTTCCACCGTTACGAACTCAAAGGATGTGCCTTGTTTTATGGAGGTTTTTGTTAATTCTTACACTGGAGGTGTTTCATTTCTTTTGGAGTGTCTTCAGGGTTCGGTTTAGGTTTCTCCTGGTTCCTTTTGCTGTCGGTATTTGTTTGGGGTGTGTGTGGTGTGCGTGGGTGTGCACGCGGGGTGCGTGTGCTCGCGTGCGTCCTCCGGGATGCACCGCTGTATATTCCTGTATAAACTGGAGTTGGAGTCTGGTTCAGTCGCTTGAGTCCTGATGAATGCATTTTTTGCTTGTGGTTTCCAAACAAAAGTGTTGCTGTTCCTTTCTTTTCTTGAGACGTGGAGTGGTCTCTCCCCTCTTCTCTCTCCCCCCATCCCTCTCCCCACTTCCCTCTCTCCCCGTCTCTCCCGTTGTGGTCGCTGATCCAGATGTGTTTGGCACAACTTTGAAATTTCTTTTAAAAAAACAAAAAATCAAAAACAAACAAACAAAAAAGACTTTAAAAATAATTAAAAAAAAAAAAAATCACCCGCCTGAAAATATCTGTTGAAAAGAAAAAAAAATATGTATCTTAAAAAAAAAATCCATAAAGTTCTACATGATGGATATATACATATATATATTTTTTATGATTAAGTTATGGACTCTGTATTGTATCCCATCTGTCCAGCTCTGCATCTTGGTGCTGCTCCCTGCTCTTCTGTGCTTAGATTTCACCTCTACTCGTCCTTATTCTTCCTATTCTGAATAGTAGATGGCTCGTGGTGCTGTGAAGACGTTTGCTCCTATACCAAGTCTGGCAACAAATATTTAAAGAAAAATAAAAAAAATAAAACCCCTGCCAGGCTGCCACCACTGTTTGTGTCCCCAAAGCATCCCGAGTCCTCGTGGCGTAGTCGTGTCATGCTGGGTGTTCACTGTCGTGGGGTGGGGGTTGTGCTGCACGGTCGGGGGGCACCCTTGGGTGCCTCTGTGGGGTGCTGGGGCCTGGCTGGCTGGGAGCTGCTGTCCCCAGTCAGGTGCCTGGTCCCTGCATCCCAATTTTCACTCCACAGGGCCAGTGCTGGTCCCTGCAATAACTCACGCTGGGCAGGAACAACTCTTTCCGCTTTTATTGTCAATGAAGAAATAATCAAATCTATATTACAATCTTAAAAACAGTAGAAAATGTGAGTAAAAATGCAACGGAGGCTTTTTGTCTTTAATGTGGAGACCATAATTACAGGGTGGTGAACAATGGGCTTGTGGAACTTGATTTGAGAACTAGCTGTGGCATAAAAATCGTACCTGGCTACTCAAGGAAATACCTCTTCCCGGATGGATCGGCCCCGGCGCCTTGGCAGTAAAATTAAATACTAGAGAAAGAAAGGGGTCGGGTGCCCACCCAGGGCAGGGCCTAATGCTCAGTCCTACCATGGCCAGGGGAGCAGCCTCCCAGTGTCACCACTGGGACACGCTGATCCATCCAGTCCCATCACTGGCCAAGGGCTGTGCTCGCCCGGCCTGGAGCCCTGGGGCCCAGAGTCACCCCAGCCCTGGCCCCAGGGGTGTCCCCAGCTGGGGGGACACAGGCAGAGGAAGGCACTGGATATGCTTCCTCTGCTTTTCCAATCAGCTAGGGCAGATCTGGGGGAACATCTGGAGCATCCATGGGGCAGACCCATCGGGAGAGCCGCCAGCCGGGATCCCTGCGGGGGGGGCCGGCCCAGGGGCAGCAGCAGGCAGTGGTTGGTGCAGGAGGAGCTGCAGCAGTCATTTCGGAGGATGTGGTCACCCACAGGCCGATGGAGGGAGAGTTTTTGGTCTTTCAGTGTGCAGGACTAGTGTGAAGCTCTCACTAGCACGTCCAGACCTGTGGAGACAAAGGAACCCACGGCAGTGACTCCTGAGCAGCTCTGGGGGCTTCTCTTCATCCTCCCACAGCACCTCCCTTTGGGCTGCCACCATCCACAACACCCTGGCCAGGAGTGGAGTCTCCCACCTGTTGAGAACTACCCCCTTGTGTCACAGAACCACACAACCATTTAGGTTGGAAAAGACCTCCCAGCCCATGGAGTCCCCCCTGTGCCCAATCCCCATCTTGTCCCCTAGCCCAGAGCACTGAGTGCCACGTCCCGTTGTTCCTTGGACACCTCCAGGGCTGGGGACTCCACCACCTCCCTGGACAGCCCATTCCAGTGTTTAACGACCCTTTTCAGTGAAGAAATTCTTCCTGATGTCCAATTTGAACCTCCTCTGGCACAGCTTCTTGTCCTGTCACTTGTTGCCTGGGAGAAAAGGCCGACCCCCACCTTGCTACAACCTCCCGTCAGTTTGTCTGAAGACAATTCCTAACTCATTTAATGCCCCAATTCCAGCACTGGAAGAGCACAAACCACGCTGGAGCAGGCTGGGGTGACCCACCTTTACAGTGCTGTCCACAGCGCCAGAGAAGAGGCGGCCACGGGACACGGCGAGGGCGGTGACGCTGCCCTGGTGCCGCAGCAGCGTCTGGGTGCAGATCATGTTGTCCATGCTCCACACCTGCGGGGACACGGCAGGCGTGAGCCACAACCCGGGAAGGGGATCTCACGTCACAGGCCCCGAGGAAGGTGCCACACCGAGGGATGGGGATCCCCATCCCCCTTCCCTCGAGGTCCCCCGTGTTGTCACAGATTGCCGGGGCAGACGCCCAGCCCCGCACACGTACCCTGAGTGACCGGTCGTAGGACGCGCTGAAGACTTTGGTTTGATCTGGTGTGGAGATGACAGCGAGGGCATAGACCGTCCCCACGTGCCCTGTCAGCGTGCGGACCTGTTCCTTTGTCTCTATATCCCAGACCTGCGGGGGAAGAGCTGGGCTCGGAGCTGTGCTGGGATGAGGCCACCACCCTCTCCTCCGAGAGGTGTTTCCACCTCCACACACACTCCAAGGTGGGTGCTGTGCCCCCACGCTCCACGTGTGCCAGGGGACACAGGCAGGGCCAGGTGCCCACCTCCACACCCCTCTCCCCCAGCCTCACTGCCAGGAATGCATCCCAGCCCGTTCCTTACGTGGATGAGGTTCTCGTAGGTGCCGCACACGATGTGGTGGTTGGTCACGGCGATGGAGTACACGCTGCCCCCGGACGTCTGCAGCACGTGGACACACTCCAGGTTGCGGATGTCCCAGATCTGATGGAGACACCGGAGCAAAGGCAGGATGAGACCCATGCAGGAACCCCTCTCCAGGGGCGAGATCCCTTGCAGCCATTCTGCCACGCACTGAGTCAGCCTGGCTCCATGTGTGCCCAGATCACACCTTCAAGGACAAATCTATCCAGCTGGGAATGTTCAGTACTGATGATGAGCAAAGCCCTGCTGTCTTAATTGGCTGCCCAGCTTTGAACATCCAGGCTGAAAATGTTGTGGAGACTGCTCACCCCGTGTGTGTGACTACACACACACGTGCACACACAACCCACTCCTTGATAGCACTACAACCTGATGCAGACAAATTAACAGGGATTTATTAGCACTGAGGAGGGCAACTTGCAGTTCTGTGTCCCCCAGATGCTGAGGTGAAGTATTCATCAAAACCTGAGCCAGCACAGAGCATGGAGGGCACTGGGAACCCTCACAGATTTATGGTAACTCTGCAGCCAGCCAGTGACCTTGCCCTGTTATCAGCAGGAGTGGGAGCACAGATAAGGCTGCAGCAGCCGCAGAGGCGGCACGAGGCGCCAGGGCCGAGGCCCCAGTTTATCCCAGTGAGCCTCCCCAGCAGCCCCCAAGGCCCAGCCTGCAGAGATGCAATCAGCACAGGAGAACCCCGTGTGTCAGCAGTCATCTCACATCCCAGCAGCTGCCTCTGGTCCTGCTCCACAGGGGAGCAGAGCACAGGGGGGCACAGGGAGAGCCGCTGGGTCCCACCAGTGCCAGGGTCCCACCTTGATGGTCTGGTAGGATCCACTGTAGAGATAGTTCTGGGAAGCCACCAGCGCTCGCACCCAGTGATTGAGACCTGTCAGCTCCTTCTTCAGCTTGAGCTCAGTACCTACAATATCCCAGACCTGTGGAAAGCACAGACAATACACAGAGACATGGAGGAGAATCCCAGTGGGGCTGGTGCTCCCCACCCATGCCCACCCCGCAAGAGGCCCTCACAGCTTCTGTGGGGATCCTTGTGCCAGCTCTGCTGCCTGCTGGGAATGGCCTGAACCCACTGACTTGCAGATAAAACACAATAACTGCTGAGTCAGCACGTTCCCTGAGGGAGCCAGCCTGGACACTGCATTACTGCTGGCAGAGACCCTTCCCTAGCACAGCCACGGGCTTGAAAACCTAAACCACAGCTGCAGCAAGGAACTGCCCTGAGCTTCCACTCCCAGCCTGTCTCCACAGAGCTCCATTCCCAGTCTCTGGCGTGCAGGGACTGACAGATCTCACTCCCCCCTACTCTGAGCAGCACTCCTGGTCTGCTCAGCTCATCTGGCAGGAAGTGGCTGGGGATGGCAAACCCAAAAGGCCCCATATTCTCCTTCTGCTCAGTCTGGCTGCTCCCCCAGCCCTGAGCTCTCTCCAGAGCCGAACCAGTCCAGGCCCTGGTTAAAGAAAAGAGCACACATCCTCTTACAGATGGATGGGCCCATAAGCTGTCTCACCAGGAGCTGGAAGCAGAACCATGGGAATCCAGCCAAGGCTTTAAAGGGCAGCTTGCAAAGCTGTTCTCTGATTTCTGCATGTTTTAGGTAGAGAATGCAGACTCAAGATCCATTGGAGGCGGTTTCAAAACAGGCAGCCTGAATCCCCAGCCAATTCTGGAGCCCAGACATGATTCCCAATGGTCTTAGCAGGTCTGTTGGGGGTCCAAGGACATACACACTTGGGACTTGCCAGGATACTCCACCTGCAGCCTCAGATTTACAGAGTTGGAAGAAATAAAGTGCTTTTGCAGCCAGGTCCCAGAACACCTTTGACTTGAGTGCAGAGTATGGGCTAAACCTTTGCAGTGCTGGCTTCTCTGTAGCTCAGGAGAGCATAGCAACAAGGTCACCTACAGACCAAAATGCCACTTTCTTCCTGTTTGGACACTTCTGTCTGACAGTTTGTACCCTTGGTCCCACACCAGCCCCAGAGGAGCCCCCTGAGCTGTACCTTGATGGCTTTGAGGGAGCCACTGAAGAGCATGTTGTGTGAGGAGACCAAAGTGCAAACAGGATTGTCGTGTGCTCGGATCGTGTTCACCTTCTGCAGGTTTTGAATATCCCAGACCTGCAAAGGAGAATCACAGAATCACGGAAGGGTTCAGATGGGAAAAGCCCTCTAAGATCATCGAGGCCAACCATTCCCCCAGCACTGCCAAACCCACTAAGCAAGAGCACCCATGAGGGGCAGGGCAAGTCCTTCATGCTGAGGCCCTTCTTCTCTGCCTCTGGAGGCAGGGAATGACATACAGGTAGGACAGGGCACTCATCTGAGCCACTGTCCTGGCTGATCAGGACCAACCACCCTGTCCCAGCTCACAGCACCAGCCTCCTGCTCCCCCACAGGAGCAGGGACTGGGAAATCCAGCCTGCAGGAAACCCCCCAATCCAACCCATGAGTGACTTGGCTGAGGCAGTGGGTACAGCACACACAGGTTATCAGTCCCACACCACTGGCAGCTGAAGAGCCTTCCAGAAGAAGGTCCCTGCTCCTGAGCAGTCTCCTCCCAGCCTGGCTGCAGAGCGGGGTCAGGGTACTCACAATGATGGTGCAGTCAGCAGAGCCACTGTACAGCTTGTTCCTGGAATGTCACCAGAAGACAAAGGGGGGTCAGAGGAGGACAGTGGCACGTGCAGGCTCCCAGCTTGTCTCCAGGCACCGTCTGGGCCAGGAGCTGCAGTCCCACAGCCTCACTGGGACAACACTTCACACACCCACCCCGAGAGCGGGGCTCCTGGCTCATGGGAGGCCAGGCTGGACTGGCCCTTGGAGCAGGAGGCCAAACACCCTGCTGGTGACCAGGGACAAAGCCAGGACACAGGGGACACCACAAAGATGCCGCTTTGTCCATTTTTTAAAAGCAGAGGCAAGATGTGCCTCTGATGCACAATTTTGGCCTGTGCAGGGCAGAGGATGGGAACTGTCAGGGCATGCTCAGGAGCCCCCATGCTCTCCCCCGCTCTCCCCAGGGGCAGATGTCCCTCTCCACTCACCCCTGGATGCAGAGAGCCAGTACAATTCCATCATGACCCTCCAAGGTCTTTTGGCACTTGTATGTGGTACAGGTATCCCACACCTAACAGGAAACACGAGGCAGGAGTTGGGGAGCGGGCAGGATGTCAGCAGCGGAAGGAGGAAACAGGTTGTCTGTCACCTGGGCACTGCCTGCCGAGTCCTGGGCACGGATACACTTGTCTGGGAAAGGAAATCTACTGCAAAGGGTCAGGCTGAAGTCAGTGAGACCCAGGACAGCAGCAGGTATCAGCCCTCTGCAGCTCTGTCCTCCTCGGCCCAGGCCAACACAACAAACCAAACCAGAGGAGCAGCTCTCAGGCTCCTGCTTCAGCAATTCTCACCCTGTCCTGGGGCTCCAATGGCACAGCACAGTCTCCTCTGCCACTGCAAAGTTTTCCCCCTGAGCACACTCTGCTCTCTCAAGAGGGAATGTTGTGCCCGGAGCAGCCAGGACAGGGGAGTTTCTTTCCCCAAAGTACAGCAATATCCGTTTTCTTCCACGTGGCTCTAAAACCAAGGAAACTAAACCAAAGCTCTGCTCCTGGCAGGATTAGTCGTAGCAGCCCGTGGGGGTCCCCAGCCCAGCCAGCAGCCACCACAGTGACATTGGGAAGGGCTGTTTAAGCTGCACCAGAGCAGTGCTGTCAGTTTGAGTTACTGCAAACAGGACAAAGGAAAACAAACATGCCATAAAATGGGAAAAGGACACTTTGGATCAGGGACAAATGTTTTGTTCTAAGATGACTTTTTATAACAAAGGAAAATAAAATCAGAAGCTGAAATAGGCTTGAATACCCTAAACACCACATAAAGCAAATCCAGCAGCAGCAGGAATGAGATTCTAATCTGAGCTTTGCAAAAATAACTCTTGACTCTCAATTTCACTATCAAGTAATGTTTCCTCCCAGAGAATTTTGCCCAACTATAATCACAAAGAATCATTTAAGATTCTTTGGGAGAAAGTTTAAGAAGTGACATCCCCCCCCTCAAACTGAACTCAGCTTCTGTCCCACGTGACAGTGCAGAAGGTGCACGGAACAGACAAGCTCTTACCTTAATGGTTTTGTCTGAGGAGCCACTGAAGAGCAAGTCTCCTATGGAATACACACACAAACACCACACAGGGCCCTGGTGGCCCACAAAGGTCCCCTTGCACTTGAAGATCTGCTGAGGATCATAGGCTGCAGAAAGGAGAGGGCAGGTGAGAGGTGGGAGGACAGTGCTGCTCCTTTGCACACCTGTAAACTCCGCCCAAAAGGGCTCCCTGGGCCACCACCCACACCCAGCCCCAGGGGAGGAAGCCCACAGGGATACTCACATCCAAGGATGCCCATGTTGAGCCGAGCATTGATGTGGGAGAGCTCATCCTGAAAAACAGAACAAGCCATGTGAGCTTTCCACAAGCAGGGAGAAGGGTACGGTGTCCCTGGCAAGTGTAAAAGGCCCAGGCTTTGCAGCAGAGGGTTCTTCCCTTGCTGCAGGGCTCCTTTCTTCTGTTAATACATTCCCAGAGCAACAACAGGCCGAGAAAAGGCAGCAGAGCCAGTTCCAGCAGCAGCCCAGATACAGTGACCAGCACGTGCTCCCCAGGCTGCCTCTGACTCAAACCTGGTGTGAGCAGAGCCAGCAAGCAGGGGGGACCCCAGAGCCTCTCCCACTGCAGGAGAGGCAGCTAGGAGCTAGGAGCTGAGCCAGCTAGCTCCATGCAATCCCTGCTCCATCCCAGGGCCCCTCCTTACATTCAGCATGGAGGCGTCCCTGCGGAATTCCATCAGGTCCTCGCTCAGCTTGCTCTGGTTCTCGTCCAGAACATCTACAAGAGAAGGACAGGCCTACAGTCACTGCAGAGCAACTGAGGGCATCCCAGGCAACAGGCAGAGGACACCCAACTGCCACCCAACCTCTGAACACGGAGGGAGGACACACTGCTGCTATTGGCTGGGAAAGCAGGAGGGTGTCTGCTCCTCAAATGGAAATTGTACCTGGATGCTAAGAACCAGCAAATCTGGGAGCACGACAGGGCTGGCACAGCAGGGGTGTCCGAGAGCCCTGCTCACTCCACGATAGCTGCACTGTTGGCTATTTGACCTGCTGATTTTTATAGGGGCCTGTGCCCATGGACTGCACAGGAAAAAGTCATAGGAGAAAGGTGGCAGCTGCCTGTAGACATTTCTAGGACTTGCCACGTGACCAGTGAGTGCAGGATTAGGTCCCAGGATGTTCTGGCAGCAAAGTCAATGGAACCCCTATTTGTCCCTCTGCAAGGAATATCTGAACCTCCTGAAACCTGCTCAGCACCAGTTTTAAACGTGGAATGAGTCCTGTAATGCATCATCCAAACAAAGAGCTTCCCTGTCCCTACAGCTCTGACCAGAGAGCTCGTCCAGAGCAGACTCACCAAACTTCAGCTCCAGGTTCTTCTCCAGCTGGTCGATTTTCTCAGAGAGCTTCCCCAGCATGGAGCGCAGGAAGGCGATCTCCTGGTCCTTCTGGGCCATTGCCACCTGCATCTCATGGAAGCGATCGTCTGTCTGCTGCAGGAACTCCTTCAGACCCTCAAACTTGCACGTCTCCAGGTGGGTCTCATAAGTGTCTTGGTTTCCTATGAATGTACACCTGAAGGGAAGGCAGACGCTGGCTGGAGCAGGGCTCCCATGGAGACTCCTTGCTCAGCTGGCTCCTCACTGGAGCTCCAAGGCCCGTGTGGCTCCCAAGCTGTCCTGCTCTTCCCACCAGCAGCAGGGCTACTGTGGTTCATTATCCTTCAAAGGATGGATTCAGTAATTTTGGATGTCCTTTCCAATCTTAATGACCCCATGATCCTGCTGGGTGCAGGCAACTGCAGGGCAACATGGAGGCCAAGCAGCTCCTGTTCTTCCAGCCAGAGCATTGGCCACAAACCAGACTGTCCGTCTGGGTAGTTGCAAGGAAAAGCAGATCTTGGGCAAGAGATAGTGTGGTGTCAGTTTATGTGCTCACCAGGAGCACCAAAATCAGTGGAAAAAACTGGAGCCGACCTCAGCAGATGCTGACTTGGGCCTGCAGCATGGCAGGGAGTCAGGGATGCTCTGCCAGGACTTGCCTTACCCTGCCTCCGCCAAGACATGTCTAAGGATCATACAATCACAGAGCTGTTGAGGTTGGAAAAGGCCTCTAAGACCATCGAGTCCAACCATTCCCCCAGCACTGCCAAGCCCATCACTAACCCATGTCCTCAAATGCAACATTGGCTTTTAAGTCTCTCCAGGGATGGTGACTCCACCACTGCCCTGGGTGGTGGGCTGGACAACCCTTTGTGAGAACCCTCCTCCTGCAGTAACCCCAAGCAGGGAACCCCCAGCCTGAGCTGTCCCCCTGCTCTGGTGACAGTGAACCCTCTGGGGCAGATCAGCACTTCCCCCGCCCTGGTTGGCAAGACACTGCCATGGTGCTCGAATTACTCTTGTAATCCTCCTCCCTTCATGCTCTGACTCTCCTCCAGCTGTTCTTCTGCCTCCTCACACCTCACCCTCCTCCTGGGCTCACACCTGGGCACCAGGACCTGCCTGTTCCCACCAGAAGAGGGGTTCAGAGGCTGCCTCCTGCAACCCCTGTAACCCTCAGCTTGGCCTCAGGCTGAGCACAGCACTGGGGAGAGCTGCTTGGAGACCTTGGGGCCACCCCAAGGCTACAGCGACCAAAAAGCAGCTCAGAAGTTACCTCAGGTCACCTTCCCCACTCAAAAGCATCAGGTCCTTACCCGTACTTGGAGTGGGGACACTTGATGTGCTCGCACTCCTTGAGGTGTGCCTCCAGGTTCATTTTGAGCAGAGGAGGGCAGCTGGGGTTGTTGGGGCAGCGCACGGGCCGGTAATCACAGCTGCTCTCATGGTCCCTGCCCACGGAGAGAAGCAAAGGGAGGGAAAATCAGCAATGAGCAAAAATTAATGGAAGCAACACAGCTGGTCAGGAAAGGAGCAAACCAGCCCTGTAAGGCTGTCAGGTCCAAAGCCTCCTGCTCTAAGACTGCAATTCCAGCTTTTAATTCTCATTTGACCAGAAAATTGAGAGTAATAACAAGCCACGTTTACACAGGGCATATCTACTTCTGCAGCTGAAGGGCTGAGCCTTCAGGCACCCACAAACAGCTTTCCACAAGCAGGGAAAGCTTGTGGAAATCCCTATCAGTCCAATCCCTATTAGCCAGGTGATAGGGAAAACAGGGAATGCATTTAGGAGGGGGAGGGAGACAGATTTCAGATTCTCAGGATATAACTAGGATAATTCCTCTCACAAAAAGAATCCCAAGGTCTCTGCTTGACCATACCACAGTGTTTCACCCCAGAAGTGAGGGGGCTGCTCTCACAGCATCCCTGTCCCAGTGCTGGCACTCAGGTAAGCTGGGAGCAGAGAACAGCATCCTTCCCCTGAGACAACCCATGTACCACCATCCCAAGAGTGATTTATCCCCTCAGCCCCCCTGCCCACTCCCACTCCCGGCAGCGCTGGCAGGAGCGGCGCGGCCCCGGAGCCGCAGGGCAGCTCAGGTGTGGCAGGCTGGCACAGCCCTTTCCCTGAAGAGGCTGGAACAGGGCACTTACTTCCTGGCACTCAGCTTGATGGTGAAGGGGCACCCTCGGGGGTCCACCTCGAAGGCGGTGGGCTTGCTGCTGGCCGCGGCTCGGCACCCGTACTTGCAGTGGATGAAGAGCTCCCCGATCTGCTCGGCCACCGCGATGTTGTTCACCACCACGGTCAGTTTGGCATTGTCCACGGGGCACTTCTCTGCCAGGGAGGGACAGAAAACACAGTCAGCAAGGATTAAAGACAGTGCAGGAGCATTTCCAGGAGCCTCTGCGTGGAGATTTTATTCTTTTGCCTTCCCTGGCCAAGTCAGCCAAGTCCCAGGTGGGTGGCCGTGGAACGAGCCATGAATATTACACAAGGTCTGTGAGCCACTATCTTTAGTTAGTCTTGGGGCTTGGAAAAGTTAAAGTTTTTGTTAAACCATGATAATTTGAGCAAGCTACCAATGAAGGATGGCCACACTGGGACAGGCTCCCCAGGGAAGTGGTCATAGCACCAAGCCTGAGTTCAAGGAGCATTTGGACGATGCCCTCAGGCACATGGGGGGATTGCTGGGGTGTCCTGTGCAGGGTCAGGAGCTGGACTCAACGATCCTGATGGGTCTCTTCCAGCTGACCATATTCTATAATTCCAATTCAGACTACCTTGTGCCTGGTGAAGTGTGAGTGTTCATAGGCAGAAGCCCCATCCATAACGTGCTCCCTCACCCAGGCCTGGGCTCAGCTCCAGCTCCCAGCAGCACCATGGGCCAGCAATCACAGAATCATTTAGGCTGGAAAAATCCTCCAAGACTAATGACTTCATGCTTTGACCGATGTCCACCTTGTCACCCAGCCCAGAGCACTGAGTGCCACGTCCAGTCGTTCCTTGGACACCTCCGGGGTGGTGACTCCACCACTTCCCTGGGCAGACCCTTCCAAGGCCTGACCACCCTTTCCAGCAAGAAATTCTTCCTGATGTCCAACCTGAACCTCTCCTGGCACAGCTTGAGGCCATTTCCTCTTGTCCCATCACTTGTTACCGGGGACAAGAGGCCGACTCACATTTGGCTACAACAGAGGCAGAAACATGAGTTTGGAGGGCAGGAGCAAAGCTGAGCAACTTGGGATTGCAACTGCAAAGCCTTTTGCTACAGAACACGTGGGTTGGGACAGATATAGCAAAGCACAGTGAGGGGAATATCATGCAAAGCAGAGGGACCTTCACATGTGGAAGGTGAAAACTGTAAGGCAGAAAGAGCTGCTTTTCTGCAGAACTTGCCCTGGGCTCATTGTGCTGGTAATGCCAACGGCTTGGCTTTGTGCTGAACAACAACTTGCCAAGAGGGGCACAGGCTTGTGCCAAAAAAAGTCTTTTTTGCAGTGCAGAGTCCAATCCAAGTGGGAGCTGGTTATCCCAGGCCAGCAGCCAGAGGCTTGGGGTCCCTCAGGGTTCTGGAAGAGCTGGGTGAGCTAAAGCAGCTCTGTGGGGCACAACCAGGGGCCAGAGGGGCTGGGGGAGGAGGGGTTGATGGGGCTCTGCCAAACACAGCCCCCCTGTTCCTTAGCCAGGCAGCCACAGAAAGCTTTCTGTCTGAAATCAGTGGGTCAGCTCTGGGCGAGACGTGTATTATCCTGGGATTATCCATGGCATACTCCACGATTTGAGAACATCCTGTGCCCAAGAGCTGGGCCCAGCCCTCTCTCCAGTGCCCAAGCTCCAGTGTGTTCCATGGGAGCTGCACGGCCCCCGAGCCCCAGCCCCTCACCGCTGCAGTGGCAGATCTGACTGACAGCTTGTTTTAAGCCCTTTGAATATTTTTCTGCAGGTTTCTTTTTAAGTGAAAGCAAACAAACCAGAAAATAACAGTGTTTTGGCTGCATCACACAAGAGCAGTTCTGTACTCACCAGATGTTAAGGCACATCTTCTACAAAACGTGTGCTGTGGAGACAGAGAGGAACAGCAGCGTCAGCGTAAAACGAGAGCAGGCTAATTATTCCCTGTGGACAATGATGGGAAAGGTGGAAGATACCCAAGCCTGTGGCTCAGGGGCCTCGGCAGCTGTTCTGCCTGCTTTAGCTCAGCACCACAGGGCAAAGCCCAGCTGCTTGCTCAGGGTGCAGCACAGGTCCTGCTCCTGAGAGTATTAAACTTTGATGTTCTGCCCCGTTCAGGACCAGGCCATGATTGTGGTAACAGCTAAAGCCAAGGGCATGTTCTGCTGCACTCTGATATTCACAGAATCACAGAATGGTTTGGGTTGGGAGGGACCTAAAGATCATCCTGCTCCAACCCCCTGCCATGGGCAGGGACACCTTCCACTAGACCAGGTAGCTCAGGGCTCCGTCCTGCCTACTCTTGAACATGTCCAAGTCCTTCCTACCCTCCACATCTGCATGGGGTTTCCCTACTTCACCTTCCACTTTAGCCCATATTATGCCTCTCACAACCCTGAGAAGTCCTCAAGGGAAGGAGCAAGGGGAAGACTGGCCTCTCCCTGTCTTTGCCCAGTCAACCCATTACACATATGCCCCTGAAACTCTTCTAAGGCAGCTGGAGCTGCCCTGTCCTGCTGCCAGGAAGATGGAACAGCTGGTTTGTAAGTCCATTAAATGCTCTGTAAATTGTAGCACTTTAAATAGCTCCCTCTCTCTGTTCTTGCAGTTTAACTTGATGAAGTAACAAACACAATCTGCCACACTCACGAATATAAAGGCTGCAGCATTTCACTGCTCCTGACCTTGCCCCGTGGGCTCCCTGGAGCCTCCTCAGCCACATTCCCCTGCCACAGGGCCAGCGCCCGGCAGCGGCTTCGAGTCCCTCCCCAGAGCTGTTATCTGTTATCTGCTGCCCTGCTCCTTTTCCTGCCCGGCACAGCTGCACGGAGCGCCCTCCAGAGCTGCCAGACCAGGACTGCACACCAAGCCAGGCTGCTTCCTGCAGTGGGGTTTTTTTTTCCATGTTATCCAGTGCATTTCAGTGTCTCTGTGAAAAGCTGCTTTCTGAAATGGTGCAGCGAAACTGCACCAATTTCCAGCACTTTTGGGGAACAGCACCCTCACTGCAATAAACAATCCGGAGCTGTTGTTGCTACAGCCCCATCCTGGTAATCAGAAGCACATCAGAAGCATTAGAGAGCCCATCTCGAAGCCATCTTTCTTCACAAGTAGCACAGAAGCAGGAATAATTTACAGCTTCTATTAAATCCCACTAAAATGGAATCCAGAAGAATATTCATAATGCTCTGTGCCTTTCATTTGAGGATCTCAAATCCCTTTGCAAGCATTAACTACATGAAGCTTCAAGCCATTTTTGTTTTATAAGCAACACTTCCCTCCCAGCTGAGGAGCAGCCATTGCCGGGGTGCCCTGGAGCTCCCTGCAGAGCCCCTCAGGGCAGACTGAACATGGCCAGGACAGGGCAGCTCTCCTGGAAAAAGCCATCCAACTTTGGGCAAGAGCCAGGATTGCTGGACAGTCAGTGGGGACAGTCAGGGCTTGGCTCTGGCTCACACAGGACACGTGTGGAGCCCACGCTGGTGATTTGAAGAGCTCTGCCTTACCCCACAGGTTGTGATGACTGGATCCTTAAACACACTGCAGCACAGCTGGCAGCACAGCTTCACAGAGGGCTGCTCAGCAAACACCAGGGGCTCCTGCAGGGACAGAAAGGGACAGAGACAGCACAAGGATTAGTCCAAACACAAGAGCCTTCCTCTGCAGAAGGAACAAAACACTCCTCAGAGGTGAGTCTCAGGGAGCCTGGGGCACTGGGCACACCGGGGGGTTCACTATCTCAACCAAACAATCTGTCTGGATCTGCTGAGTTCCAGTAAGAGGCAGGGGAAGAACAAACTTGGGAGTGGCTGGAGACCCTCAGCTCATCACAAACTGGGGGCCACCAGCATCTGGCAGGATCAGGACCTGACAGCAAACTGCTCAGACCAACTTCTCTGTCAGTGACTCAAGTCGCCAGACCTGTGTGAGCTGCACTGGCTGAGACTTTGTGCTTGGTTGGACTGAACAGAGCATTGTCAAAAATGTACTAAGCCTGGAGTTTGAAAGCAATTTTAGAGCAGCCTGCCCTTTTGTATTTTTGAAACATCCTGGAGGAAGGGCTCTTTCATTCCCTTATGAAGCAGAAACAACATTGTTTCTGCTGCAATGGGCCCATCTCTCCAGTTTTGTTTACCAACTACGACTGCCAGCACGGGGCTCTGAGCACGTCCTCCTGGAGCAGCACGGCTCTCCAGGACCCTGAGCATGATCTCCTGGAGCAGCACAGCTCTCCATGCCATGCCAGAGCAGGGCTTCACATTTCAGAGCATTTCAAATCAATCTCTGCAGCTCAGTCTCTCTTTTCATCCCATACTGCTCTCAGAAATGCAAACACAACCCCCTGGGTTCCTAAATATGAAACACACTTTCATCCCAGATCAGTGGCAAAACACCACCTGACCTTTTATTCATCCAGTCTGGGGTTAGTTACTGGGTCACAAGCTAAGCTCAGCTTAAAAGTGTCCTCCCCTAACATGCAGACAACTCCTTGCACTCTCCAGGGGCTTACAATCAAGTCAGTGGGGTGCCACACATCCCTGAATGTGGGATAGGGCTCCAGATCCATAGGGAATTGTATTTCTCTTGCTGCCTGGGGCCAGACCACCAGCCTGAGCCTTGCAACCCCCACTGCTCTGCAGCAGAGCCAGGGAATCACACAGGACACTTTGCAAAGATTTACAGTTTATCTGGGAAGCAGAAAAGCCTCACCATTGTCCTTGCTCCACAGACAGGGAAATGGCTCAGAAGGAAGCAAAGCCAGTGGTGGAAACAAAGTTAAAGCCGGAGTCCTGACAGCCAGGCATCACAAAAAACCTGTCTGTGACAGCTCTGTGTTCTCACAAGAGTCCACTAAGTTACTCTTTTGTCACTGCACTTCCTAATACTGCTCCTTCAGACAATCCCAAATACCTACTGGCTCCTCCTCTTCCTCATGGAGTGAGAACGTCGAGCGCAAGGACATGTTGGACTCGGAGTGCAATGAACGGACGGAGATGGCCGAGTCAGAGCGGCGTGGGGTGCTGATCGGGGGCTTCAAAGAGATAAAACCAGCTCTGGTTAGTCCAAGTAATTCCCAAACTCTGTGTGAACACTTCAAGTTCAGTCCTCTCCCTCCCAAAACTACGCTGCTCCACTCCAAGCTGCACTGAGCGGCCCTGCTGCTGTGTGCCCTTCCCTGCACTGTGCTCAGAGACAGGATTAAGGTTTAACTTCCTAAACCGGGCTGACATCTAAATTCCAAGCACGTCCCTTTCTCCAAGGTGCATTCGCTGTGCACTTACCGTGGGCACCCGCAGAGCAATGGTCTGGAAGAATTAATCCTTCATGGAAAGCTCTGTAAATCTCCCCCAGAGACTGCTCCAGCTCCTGCCCTGTCTCCAATCTCTGCAGCAGCACTTGTTGTTGCACTCGCTATCTAACTTCTGCCAAATTTCTTTGCGTAAGTGTGGAGACTTCCTTCTATTGAATTCCCTCACAGCCCGGCTCTGCCGCTTCCTGCTCGGGAGGGGAGAGCGGAGCGGACACCGCGCACCGACCAACGACAATCCCCCTGGCTGCAGGGGCCTTGGGATTGGCTTTGAGGGAATGCTGCCTCTGGAATATTAACCAGCAGTGCATCTCTGAGGGAGGAATATCAACCAGCAGCACGCAGCCAAGATGAAACTTGGCGTCAAAGCAAAACTGGACACTCTTCAGATCATGAAGTGTCTGGATTTGGGGGTCCCAAATCCACCTGGGAGTGCAGCCAGGGCTGGGTTACTTGAGAAGAGATGCTCCTGGTAGACTGGGAAGGGTGCAGAGGGAAGGAATAAAGGTAGTCAAGGAGCAGAATGGATGTTTTGACAAAGAAATGGGAGAATGAAGCTGTAAGCTTCTGACACCTGGCACCAGGAGGTGACCGATGGCACCTGCACGTGTCACCTCTACATGGCTTGGATGTAGCTATGTCAGCCACCAACTCTGAGCAGTGCTGGCTGGAAGCAGCTCTGGAGATCACTGGCTGGAATTGAGACTCTCCCTGACCCTGGAGGCCAGCCCTGGCACTGCCCAGCTGGAACAGGGGAAGCTGCACAGACCAGACTCTGCTGCCCCGGGTTCCTGTGCAGCACCTTGGGAGCAAAACACTTTCCCTCGTATTCCATCTGAACCCTGTGAGCTGCAATCTGTGCGTGCACCCTGGGTCAAAGGGGGCAACATCAGACTCAGGGACGGACAAAGGCAATGTAGGAGGGCAGGGGGGCAGTCAGGAAATCCAGCAATGAAAGCTGTAGGATGAGGTTCAGAGGCTGCAGTCTGAGTGCAGCCTGGCTGGGCTGCAGAAGATGAGCAGATCAGGATCCTGCTGCTTCCTCTGCTGCTTCAGTTTTATGATCCCGCACTCCCAGGAGCTCAGAACTGCTGCATCTGCTCAGAAGCCAAAGCATAAAGCTTTTTCTTAAAGACAGCATATTTACTGGCTAAACAGGTAAACCTGGAGGAGGAAGGGTTATAATGAGTAAATCAATTTTATGTGTATCCATTCAGCTTATTTTCCTCCACTACTAACAGAAGTTATTAAAATAACAAGAATGACTGTGCATAGTTCCCACTCTGGAGGTGACACGGAGTGGAGGGCAGCACAGGCAGGCTCTGCAGGGAGGCAGGTTTATCACAAGCAGCATCCTGGGTGGTCAGCAATGGAGAGGGGGACTGCTGCCCAAAAACATTTCCAGGAGATAGAGGTGTGAGACACAGACTTTCAAGGCTTCTGTAACACTGTGGGCTCAGAGCCCTGTGTCCTGGTTGGGGTAATGCTGGTGTTAACTACACAGGGGACAAATGAACGTGCTGAGAAAGCTCCCTCATTCCCTTGGCTGCAGAGACAATGTGGAATGGCAGAGGATGTGCTGGCATTTACAGACTCTCTGGGTCTCTTCAGCCTTGCTTCTTGCCAAGCAAACAAGGACAAGACTTGAGAGACCTCATTTCTGCACTAAACATCAGGTGCATCTTCAAACAGCCCAAGGATGGAGCTCCCAAATCTTCTGATGGAAGATGGATAGTTTTTGGCTGGTAATTCAGTCCAGCCTCCAGTTCAGAGGTGAAGCTCCCTGTAAACAACAGACTTTGGGCAGCCAGGCAGCCTTCATCCACTAGTATCTATTTGTGCCAATATTCAGCTGTAACCTTTAGCTGCAGTTCCCATCACCTCAGCTACAAGTGCAGGCTCCACGTGAAGGCTCCAGCAGAGTCCTCACGGGGACCTGTGGCACTATTTTCATGGAAAGCTGACAGCAGCTGCTCAGTAATCCCTGCCTTGCACACAGAACACACTGCTCTGCTTTGGGTTTCATTAACAGAAGCTTTAAAAAGAAAGAAAAAGGGGTGGTGGAGGTCACAGAAGGGCTCTGACGCGTCTCCAGCTGTCTCACTGATGGCTGACAAGCCCTTGGCAGCTTCTGGAGGAGGGAAAACTCAGTGATGAGGAAGGGAAATCCCAGATTATTTCTTGACAAAGCAAATGAAGCTTCCTAAAAGGGTTAGTGAGTCTGTCTGGAGCGGCAGGCAGAGCAGGGCTGGGGTGGTTCCGGATTGCCAGCACCTCATGCTGTTTCCTGAACCACTCATTAATTCTCCTGCTATTTTTGCTTAAGAACATTTGGCACTCCGAGGAAGGTGGGCTGAGACTGCCCAAGAGGATTGGGGCTGGATCCCAGGAGAGATCTCCCCCATTTTTGGCTGCACACCTCAGTTCGTGACACCAGGGTTTTCAAAGGAGCTTTTCCACCAGACCTGGCTAAATGAAGTACCCCTAGCATGCCCTCCTCTGCAAAACTCCTCCCCTCTGCCCTGTGAGAACTGCCCAGCTCGTGAGAAGGGCACAGTGAGCCCAGCACTGAGCCCACAGGGGTTGTGCTCACAGCCAAGGGTGGCCTGGAGCAGTGGCCCAGCTCCGTGGGGTCAGTGAGGGGATGGAGAGCTGCACTTGCCAAGGACACCAGGCAAATGTTCAAAGGACCTGTTAGGAAAAAAAAAACAAACAAAAAACCCCATGGGCTCACATAAAACACAGCAAGATGTCTGAGCAACAGAAGGAACTTTATAGGATGCTGACAATAAAGCTCTTTGCAATCTGGTGTCAAATTTATTTTCAGAAGTGTTGTAGCTCCATATTGTTGCTGACCCCAGTCTGTCAGGGCATAACTCCAGCAGCAGGGATCCCATTTACCTCTAGCTTGGAAGCTGGGTCTTGTAACCTGACTAAGTCTACAAGTACTTTATTTGAAGTTTACTACCAACATGCTTAAATCTAAACAGAGCTCACGGTTGTGAGATGTGGTTGGAGCACCAGGGACAGGAGAAGGTGCAGGCCTCAGAGCTGTCCATCCTTTCCCTGAGGTTTGCTTTGCTGTTGCTGTTCCTGATTTAATTGATTTAGCTGATTTAATTTCTCTCTAAGCAGCTAACCCTGAGGCCTGTTGAATCACTAAATTCCCCAAAACCAGCTTACTCAGAAGTGAGTAAGAAAGCTGGATGCAAAATTGGGAAGTTCTTTTCTGCAAAAATATTGGGAGACACGGGAATGGTTTGTGTGAGAAGCCCCCAGGAGCCCAGCACAGTCTGAAGTGTCCAACATCCCACTCTGCAGGTTCCAAACCCGCTCCCTGTGGCCAGAAGCCCCATCTGGAGGTGGGAAAAGGAATGGATTCTACGGCCTCAACTGCAGAGCCAGCTGGGATCCATCCAACAGGCCCTGACCAGACTGCCTGGCCTCAGTCACAGCCCAGACATCCCTGGCTGTGCCTGTTTCCTCCCGAGCACCTGCTCTCCCAGAGCCAGGTACACACACAGGTCTGTGGCATTTGTACTTCCCAGGCTTTGAAACCACATAACCATTTCAAGCAGTGTGAAAATGAGCACCAGCAGCACCAGCTTAAAGCCTCAGGTCAGAATCAGCTGCTTCCCCACGGCACCAACCACAGGAGCAGCCAGGAATGCTGAGGCTGGTCCTGCCCCCGGTGCAGGAATCTCCCTTGGATATAACAGTGCACGGGAATGATGAGGGAGGCAGAGGACTCCAGAGGAACACCAGACATCTCTCATCTCTCAGCTAAGCCAGTCAGGAGGGCCCTGGCAACACCTACCATGCCATCGTCCTCATCCCGTGGGGAATAGGTGAGTGTGCTGGAGGAGGACGGGGTCCGGCGGTGCTGCTTAAAAGTGTTGGTCCCGTCAGCTTTGAAGGGAATCAAAGAAAGAAAAACAAGCATTTAGGCTCCTCAGAAACATTCCCAAACTATGGGTCAGCCTCTGTAGCTGTAAGTGTCCCTTAGAAAAGGAAAAGACTCGGGATTCTCCAACTCCAGTTCGTGACTGGACATATCAGGTAGAACAACCCTGATCTCTGAGAGCTTGCCCAGAGAAGAGCACAGGTCATATTCTGTCAGGTCCACAGGGTAAAAACACTATTAAAAGGAAACTTTATACTCCCACATATCTCAGTCACCAACAAAAATTGCTTGGATCCAGGAAGGTCTGGATACTCTTGCAGCACAAGGGAGGCATGGTAAATTAAATATGAGATATTTGTATAGAGACTGTATTACTGACTTGTGTAAAAGTTTGAATGTAAATATTCTGGAGTCCAAAACCATCTAGAGTCCAAGACAAATGTAATCCAAACATCTTCCTCAGGCACATGTTAATTTTCTTATCTAAATCAGTGTCAAGTCTTCTTGTTTCTACTAAAGGAAGGATATTTGTATTCCAAAATAAAAACAGACCTCTTCCTACATTCACCCCACGTGTCAGGCCTCAGGCTTCCCTCACCTGCTGAGCTTTGAGGAACAAGGCACAGGAATTCTAAATAAGTAGAAGCATTTGCATCCTCTCCTGTCTGAGCTAAAAATGGCCATGGGGGTTTCACCAAAGCTCCAGAGTGACTCACAGTCAGGCACAAGAGTGAAGATGGAATTTTCAGTGCTGGTGATGATTGTCACAGGGATCAGTAAGATTTGGTGCTGAAATCAGTATCAAACCCTGTTGTACCATCCCAATTTCAACAGGAGCTTCCCAGTGGTGCTGCTCAGTCTGCCTAAGGGGAGACAATTCCTGTGCCTTCTCATTTCCTTCATGTCTGGACACTGGGGCTGCAAAGCACTAAAACCAGCCCCTGGCTAATGAACACAGTGATTCTCCCAACAGCTTTATGGTTTGTAGAAAACAACAACAACCCTGGAATCACCCACAGTGCTTTGGTGAGGTGCTCCAAGCATGAGATACTCACGCTTTGTGATGGTGGTCACAGCAGAGTAGGCTGGTCCAAAAGTTGTTTCCATTCTTGTCTGAAATATCGAGAAAATGAAGGTCAGGGCATATAAAGGCTTCAGATCTTCCCCAAACCGGTGAAAAAATGTACATACATGTTCCTAACTTTTATCTGTGAATGCTGAGAATCTTAAGAGGCAAGGAAATACCATATTTCAGAAGGCATCTAGTCCCTCTGCTCTGCCACCAGCAGTGACCTTACCCCGTTAGTGTTCTCTGAAGGAGTGATGTTTGTTGTGCCACTGGAGAATCGATTGTAGCGAGCGTTCTTGTTTGAGCTCATAATCTAGGCCAGCATCTGTTAGTCATGGGAAGCTTGCTCTGGGGAAGAAAGGAGACAGAAAGGGAATTAGGTTCATTGTATGTATTTTCCTGTGCTCAGAGAACACTCTCCTGCAGCACTAAGTCCAAATGTTTACCTAAACTCACTTAAAACCTGGATTTTCAGGAGGAAGAGGCAAGGACAAAGTCAGATTCCTTTGAATCATTCCTGGATGAGAGTTCAGCATTTTCTAAAAATATTATCTTTTAAAAAGGGGCTCATTTCTCTTTTTCCACTGTTTACACAGATTTTCACTAAGCTCAAGTTTGCAAAGTCAAGAATTCCACAACAATAACCTGCATAAACACCTGGAGTTTGCTTTCTTTAACCTCAGCTGGAACCTGATGGTGCTTCAGGGCACAATCATGCTGTTATCCCAGTGGATCTGACAAGATGCTCTCAGTCTCCTTCGGAGCCAGGTACCCTTAGGAAGGAGCTGCACCTTCTCTGCCATCACATGGAGTCACTTCTGGCTCAAGCAGGAGTTTCCCTGAGAGAAGCCAAGGGCTCAGCTGGGCACTGAGCTCTCCTCCCAGGCTCCATCCTTGCAGCTAGCAGGTTCTGCTTGCACTCCCAGGCTGTCCCAGCCTGCCCAAGGGGCCCTGTGCTCTGGGAATAAGCTGCTCCAGAAGAATCCTGACTAAGAGACCCCTTTCTGTCCAAGGTAAGTCTTGGTATTTTCACTGCCAGCAGCAGAGTCCAGGGGCTAAACAGACACACACCTGCAGTGAGGACAGACAGGCCAAAAAGGGTTTACTGAGACAAAAAAAATCCCTTTCTGCAGGACAAGAGTCTTGTAAGGAACACCCCACAGGTGTCCCCAACGCAGAGCTCCTGGTCCTGCGAGATGGCTCTGCTCCAGCCAGGCTTCCACACTCCTGCTGCTCCCACTGCCAGCTGCTGGGAGGTGAAATCTCTCAGGGGTTTCCAGCAGTTGGTTTTCCCTGGTCTGGAGGTGACAAGTCCTAAATCTCCAAGCTCCTTACAGAACCACCACTGTGATTTCTCCACTTTACAGAAAGGGAAACTGAGGCTCAAAGAGAGACAGGGTCCCACCATGTAGCTGTGACTGGGGACTTGTCCAGGGATTCCCACCTCCCTGGAGAGCCCTGGCACAAGGCTGCCTGCACACGGGGCTGGGCACACCCTGCACCTGCATTTTAAACACTGCAAAGGTGACACTTGAGTTGTCCTTGACCAAGGCTCTGCTCAGGGCCTGACACAGCACTTCCTGGTGCTCCCTGCAGCTCTGGATCCAACAGCTGTCAGGCAGCCAGAAACAGCAGCAGCAGAATCCAGGGAATTGCTACTCAGGACTAAATTCTCAGAAAAAGCTACAGTCTAAAACAAAAAAAAAAAAATCCCACAAAAATTCCAATGAAAAACCAAACAAACAGAAACTCCGAAGCCAAACCCAAAACCATCTTAAAACCGAGGATCTGGATAATGTTTTCCACACATGTGACAGCACTGTCCTGGCTCTTTGCAAATGCCAGATCCCTGAGGAGATGCTGAGCAGAGTTGCTGGAGCTGTCTCAAAACCAGCAGGACTGAAGCAGTGTTGTGCTGCTGCATCAGGGAGACCTGCTGAGTTTAAAGCTGGGCTCCAGCAAGCCAGAAGTTTGGCTGTGGCCATCAGATCCTTTTATTCCTGTCAGTGTTCCTTAGGGCACAGAGATTAGAGGGAACTGGGAGGGTGGGCGGTGGGAGAGGGCAGGCAAATTTTTTGGGTAACACTGGCTGTGGCCCCATGAGGTCTGAACCCCACCCAGCCTCTCACCCTCCGGCAGCCTTGGACCAAGCCCTGGAGCTTCCTCCCAGCAAAAATTCACCTCTTCTGCACAGCATTTCTGGACTACAAAGCCTGAAGATCAAAGAGTCAAAAAGGTGTCCAGCTGGGGTCTCCAGATGATGTAGTGCTTATAAATAAAGCAAAGCCAAGTACTTCCACGAGTGATGGCATAAACTGCCACATTTCCTGGGGTCTCATGTCTCAAGGCTGCATTATCTCATCCTTAATCATCGCCTGCATGTATCCCTGAATTCCCCTCTCCATAGGTTCCCTATGTGTAACAATGCAGCTAAGCTCTGGTCATTTCCACTAAGGCAGAAATAGAGGGACTCACTTTTCAGGGATATGAATCCATGATTCCTTCTTCAGAGAACCTCAGCAACATCTACCCAATGACCCTTTATCCTGCACTGCTCAAAGCCAAGAGCAGGGATATGCTCCCACCTCACCAGCCGTGTCAGCGTTAAGGGAACCTCCCATATAAAATATTCCTATTGGGTTTTAGGGCAAACAATCATTCCCAGATGGAAAGGGAGGAAGCCCATCCTAATGGTGGATTGTGGGCTGTCTGGAGACTCCTACAGAAGCTTCATTCTCATTTTCAGGGTATGTATCACCTTCAGATGTAACAGATGGAGCGATGGGAAAGCACTCGGAGACAGGGGAAACCAAAAATGGGGACAACCAACAGCTTGAGGAGTTCTGGAATATCCTTAAACGTTGGATCAGACGTGCAACCAACAGTGACTGCAGGCACCTGAGCCACTACAATGACCCCTACAGCACCTGCCTGGGAACTTCCCAGGGATAACCCACAGGCCATGGAAAAGTGTCCTGGAGAGGCACTAAGGAAGCATCTCCAGTCTCACCCTGCCCCAAAATCACACTCAAACAGATGCAACAGAGCTTGGATAAATCCAAAGTGAGGAACAGAACGGGGATTTTCCACTCACTGTCCATAAGCATGACCTGTGCTCTGCAGCTTGGCTGAGCAACCTACCTGCAAGTAGCAGCAGGGACCTGCTCTGTCTGCTCTGAACAGAGAGCAGAGGAACATGAGCAATGGGAAAAATGCTGAGTGGAATATCAGCCAGGCTGCAGAACACCAGCAGCCACAGGAATATCTGATTTCAGCCCAAATCTCTGCACCCACCAAAGGCAGGAGCATTTCAGCAGAGCAGACACCTCCCCAGAGCACTGTCGGACAGCTCCTCCCATCTTCCCAGAGGTACTGAGAAAGGCCTTTTGCAATTGGTATCAAGCAAGTTAAAAGGAGGCAGAAAAGAGCTGATCCTGTCAATATTATTATCAGATTCCTACAGCACTTGCAAAAATCTCTGCCAGATTTCTGCACCTTTGCCTGGCATCTGAACTCTGCCTGCTACACTGTCCTGTGCTCCAGGCCTGGAGGATGCGTGTCCCTCCTGGGGATCCCAGCCTGTGACCCAGATTCTCCTTGCCCAGAGTTAATTTTTCTAATACTTTTTTTTTTTTTTTACCATGCAACTTCAGTGTTTTTTAGAGTAAACAAAGAGGGGAAAAAAATCTACCCTGGAAAAGGAAGCAGTGGGGACCAGCTATCCTGTAAATCCCACGGCTGATCGTAAGCAGATGCGAGGGAGGGGAAGGGATGAGTTTCAGCATTTGCACACCACGGGGATCAACTCAGGCTTTTGAGACTCAGTGAGAAGAAAAGCCTTAAAATCCTTCTGTAGTAATCCAAGCAAGGAGAAACCCAACCACCAGTAGCTGCAGAGGCAGTTGGGGGAAGCAGCGCTCTTCCTACTGCTGAGCGGAGATCCAGTGGGATCAGCCATGGATCACACTGCTGCCAACCCTGACACTGCACCTCAAAGCACTCAAAGCAGGGAGAAGAATCACCTCTGGGACCAGTGGCCTGGCTAATCATAGAATCCTGGAATGGTTTGGGTTGGAAGAGACCTTAAAGGTCACCCAGTTCCAACCCCTGCCATGGGCAGAGAACCACTGGCCATGCTGAAGAGGGGTCTGGTGGCATCTGCCTTCTCTCCGCCCCCAGAGCACACACAGTTATTCCCAGAAGATCCTTACAACCAAGCACAAAGGCCAAGGCTTTGAAGGGGGGACATGGCACGAGGAGAAGGGACAGCAGAGTATCCCAACCTTCACAAACATCACATAACCTGCCTGGTCCTGTCGAGAGCCAGTTCCCAGTGCAGGAACCCCACCTTTGCAGGCACCAGGGCACTGCTGGGCTGTGTGCTCTGGCTGCTCTCCAGGTGAGCCACGGGCACGGCAGTGGGTCCTGCAGGTGACACGTGCCACGACTGGCAGCTGCAGAGTCCCACAGTGTCTCCCTGCCAAGACACCAGCAAGAGTTTCCTTTGCCTTACGCAACCGCCAGCCCGTGACGCTCAGTGTGTCCTACATCTGCTGGTTCTTCTTTCCCCCCTCCTTCCTCTCTCCATTGAAGCCCTCTCCAAGGTTATTCACCCCCAAGGAAACCACTGGAGCAGCAAAATCATCCACAGTAGGAGTGTTTGCCAGCGGGAAAGACAGGCATGGGTTATCCTGCTCCGGCTGGAACAGCCCCTGGGTGACGTGAACTTCCTTATCTCACAGCCTGGGTATTTATGGCATAAGAGCTTCTGTTCCTCTTACAACACCACAGTGAGGACGAGAAGGGTTACACATCCTTGAGAGTATTGGCACATCCCCAGGGAAATACTCCCTGAGAAAAGCTCCCACAGCCCAGCTCCACGGGACAAGGGGAAGGCACACGGGTGCCGAGAGCAGGGGGTGGCTTTGGGGGCTGCCCCCACTTCCTTGTCCGTATCCCAAGCTCTCACACATCCAGGGCTCCTCTGGGGGAGGTCACAGGGCCAGTATATCCAGCCCAGTTGGGGCAGGCTGTCTACCTTGTCCTTCTGCAGGACCAAGGTGTTGCCCACACGTTCTGTGAACTGGTTCTTAGTGGCCCACAGCGACCAGCAAGGGAACATCTCGAATCCCAGAGACAGCCTGGTGACAGTCACACTGGCTTCCCTGGTATCTGTGGTGGAAATACCACCCAAAAGAGCTTGTGAGCTGCATTAACAGGGCTTTAAGAACACGGTTACCTGCTCTAGGTGACCCTGCCTTGGCAGGGAGTTGGACTAGATGGTCTCCAGAGGTCCCTTCCAACTCTAATTAAATATTCTGTGACTACCAATATCTCATGGTGATGAGGACTATGAGCATCTGGTCTGACTTGTAAAACACAGGCCTCAGAATGCTGAGCTACCCCAGATCCCTGAGATAGACACCTCTCAAGTCAGTCACCAGACAGGAAGCAGAGGGTGGAGCCCAATGGTCACTCCTCAGGTTAGGATAAGGTCCTTCCAACCCAAACCATTCCAGGATTCCATGATTTTCACAGCTGCTGAAGACAGAACTGATGCTCTGACCCAGCAGGACATTTCTTACACTCTTTGGGAGGCCTCTCAAAGGCCAGGATCGTATGCCAAGATGTGCAGTCAGTGCTAGAAGGACATAAAACCAGAACAGAAGTTCAGCCTTACTGACAGAACGTGGCACCTCCATCTGGTGGGTGTTGGGTTCTGGGGAACAGTCTTTGTATTGTTCAGAAGTTTTTCCTGTAAGTCATACAAACTTTCCTGAGACCAAAATTGTATTGAGCTGTCATCAATAAAAATAAAACTGATATTTTTAATTGCTGCTGCTTTTACCAGTGCTTCCACCAACCACAGGGCTGTGAGAGCACATTCAACAGCTGCTTGAACGTGGCCATGCCTTTGAGCAAACGGGGTTCAGAATGGGAAATCATGTCATATGGAGCTTTTCCTAACGGATAATGACTCCTTGGGATAGAAGATTTTTTTGGTAATACTTCATGTCAAAACCTGAAGCAGTAACTTTCAGATGTGCCCATGACTGGATCAAAAGTGATTGCTCTGGTGGAACAAAGCATCTCATTTTTCCCCTCCCCCCAAAAAAATGAAGTTAAAAGGAAGGACAGAGGCCAATGTTCAATACTGTTCCATGACACAAAAAGCTACATTTGAAGCTTTACTTCCATTTTTGGTAACCTGGAAGCACCCACCTACTACACCATTTTTGTTTTGCAGACCAGGGCTCAGTAGTTCTGACCCCTCCAACCGAAACTGCCGTGTCTGGGCTCAGCAGCTGCACAGTCACTGTTGGGCAGCCAGGCTGGCAGGAACAGGCACGGCCAGAGCTCCTCCACACAAAGACCGGAATCAAAAGGTGCTTTAAAAGTTGGCCCTAACGCTGCAGCTTCGTGCTGTGCCTTTCACAGCCTGTGCTTTTCCACATCCTCCCTCAAAGAACAGGCCCGCTCAGACACCATCACAGTGTTAAATTGGGGATTTGGTTAAGGAAAAAGAATAAAACCCCAACCAAGCCCCCAAACCAACAACATCCTACCCCTCCAAGGCAAAAATCTCAGTTCTGCTGCAGTTCCTTGGGAGGAAATGGTCACCCTCTGTGTTGATAAGAATTATCAGGCTTTAAAAGCTGAGAATAGTCACTTACACCACTCACACCACAACTGGTGCTCACTGGTGCTCCTCAGCCTTGCTTGACAGAGAGACCAAATAGTTGCCAAGACCCCACAGGGTCCTGTGGGCCGGCTCAGGCCCTGCTGCTGCCAATCTGGTCAATAGAGGGGCTTGCAACTCATCTAAAAAGCCTCTAAGACATGGCAGGTCAGCAGCAAAGCCTGGGATATGGAGAGATTCAGCCTCTGTTCTCCCAAGGCAGCCAGAAGAACGTTTGTCTCACCTGGATCCTCCTCTCCTGGAGCCCTGCTAGACCCAAGGCAATCACAGCTCCTCCTCTCCTTCATTCCTCGATTCCTGTGCCACCACTGAGGCCTTTTCCAACTGCTTTGCCTTACTGGCTGCACTGCACTCCTCTGGAAAGCTGTAACCAGCCCATCACATTATGGGATTCTTCCAGATTAAAGTCACGAGAAACTTGAGCCCATAAACATAAATCAAAAAGCACAAAGTATCACTTCCACCCCCTGCTCCCCCCAGCATCCTCCAAAGCTTTGAAACTTCATGACACACTCTTGCCCTCTGGGTGCAATTGGAGCACTTCAAAGATCAGGCTGAAACACATCAGCTCCTTCACAAAGAAAAATAACCCAGTAAATTCCAGTTACCTGCTCTTTTTTTTTTGTACAGTTGCCTTGGACTTTGCCACTGAGAACAAGCAGGAGGCACAACGTAGACACCTACATTCATTGATCAAACTGTGACCCTCAGAGAAACAAATGCTGAATCTTGGATTCCAAAAGGAATCAGTGGCTGTGGACACTTGCACCATGGCAAATCTATGGACAGCTTTGAGACAGCAGCACTGTTCAGTGTCCCACAGCCCCCAAACACTCCCCCAGGGTGACTCAAAGGGGAGGCACCTGGACACAGCCTCTCCTCACAAACTTGGCTTCCATGCTCACAACTCTGCCTAAGGAAAACCGAGGACTTCCCAGCCCTGAAACCACCAGGAACAGCCCCGGAACACACTTGCTGAGTTGCAATCAAAAGTTCCACGTCCTCGCAAAGGTCACTCTGAAGGATCATAAAACCAGCACAACAGGGCTCTGGCTGTTGGACAGGCCACAGGTACCCACTTCCAAACTGGTGCTGGATTCCAGGTCTCCACTAAGGGATGGAAACAGTTCCTCCCTCCCTGCTGTGACAGCTGAAGCGGAGCAGCTTCCCAGGGAGCGCTGCCATGGGCTGACACCCAACACCCGGAGCAAACCCCTCTCCTGGGAGACACTCACCCTCGGCCATCCCGGCTGGCCCGGAGCGGCAGAGCCCGGCAAGGCGCCTCCATGCCCAATTCCTGAGCCGTGCACAGGCTCTTCCCGGCCAGGCCGTCCCTCCCGCTATCTGTGTGCGTGTGTGCATCGCTCCCCAGTGATGTAAACACAAAGGCATGCGGAGCAGTGGGCGAGATGTAAATCCAGCTGGAAAATCCCACAGCTCAGCCAATCTCCACGCTGCCTCCCAGCATTGCCCTGGCTGCTCCGGGAATGCTCCCTTCCCGGTTCAGCTTAGTGCAGGAAAAACAACCCTCTCTGAGCACACACGGATTTATTCCCCCGATCCGAGAAAGCTCCAGGGACAGGACAGTCCATCGCGCGCTTTAAGGGAAGTTTGGGTTTCTTTCCCTCTTTAGAGAGTTCCCAAACTATTCAGAATTCTGAATATCAAACAGCAACACGGTCTTTGCTTGGAGAGATGATCCAGGAGAATCCAGTTAACTAAGAACCATCTCAAAGGCTGAACTGGGGAGCAGGACTCACCCAAAATACAGGCACTGACAGTGGGGGACTCCTTCTGCCAGGACACCCACCCCCACAACTGACGGTCTCCCAGGAGCAGGACTGCCCCATTCCAGCCCAGGACGCCTCATTAAAAGCTGATGAAACTCTGATGAAACTCTGAGCTTGGGCTGTGCTAAAGGCAGAGCAGGAGCAGCCTAAATGTGTAATTTGGGGCACTGCTGCCCTGGGCTCCAGGGGGACTTGCTGAGGTCCAAAGAAGGGTGACACGTACCCCTGTGAGCAACCAGCCACCTCGTTCCTTGTCCCAGCTGCCACTACATCCCTCGATCCAATCCACGGATGAGGGGATGTGCCAGTGTGTCCCTCACCATGCCCACGGCAAAGGGTCACGGGCAGGGAAGGGCTGACAAAGGGAATACAAATCAGGAGGGATGAGTTCTGACAGGCTGAACCTGTCCACGGAACCCAAGTGCTGAGGTAGTGAAACCACGAAGGATTTTCTCTCCAGTGCCTTTCTCCTGGTGCAGCTGGGCTTGGCTGAGACAACCTGTGAGACAGGTACAGTCACGCTCCAGGAAATCCCACAGTCATGGCCAGCAGGGCCTGGAAGCTCCCATGGAAGAGGGGAACGCTCAGCCCACGAGGTGACCGATGGCTGAACCCCAACACCACTCAGGGCCACCCCCAGTGCTGCTCAGCAGCAGCTCCTGGCAGAGCAGAGCTGGCTCCAGCTCCAGCACTCGGTGCTCAGCAACACCCCAGAGCCCGGAGGGGTCCCGGCGGCTCCGGCAGCGTCAGGATTGTGGAGCCCTGGGAAGGGAATGTTTGCCCGCACAAAGGTTCCAGCCAGCGGGCACAAACTTCCATGTGGTGCTTCACACGTGGCTTAAGGCCCTCAAAGGCTGCGCTGCCACAGGAACAGGCAGGTGTGGGCCCACCCTGCAGAGCAGCCGGGATCCCCCAGGGATCCCTCGGATCAGGGAACTGAACTGCCTGGAAACTATGGATTGGGGTTTTTTCCCCTTGGGTTCAATCAATATCCTGAAAATTCCTGTTGGGGTGTCAACCAGTGAAGGTACCAGCGTTTCCTGACAGGAAACTCCACTTTGGCTCAGGTTTCCCAAAGCCACTGGGTAAAACTGAACCTCCCTCAGGGTGAAACAAACGTTCCTTCCCTCAGGGAAGTCTCACCTGCACATGAATCAAACCCCAACACCTGAGATTTCTGGCTGGATTCACCCTGTCCCTTCCCTGCTTGAGACAGCAGTGGCCTGGAGGGACCCCAGGACATAGAGTGGGACCCAGCAGAGTGTGGACAGCTCCCTGCTCCTACAGCTTCCTACATGACCTTAGGAAATCCCAAATTTCCCTCACCGGGGGTAGGTTCAGGCTGGACATTAGGAGGAATTTCTTCATGGAAAGGGTGGTCAGGCACTGGAAGGGGCTGCCCAGGGAGGTGGTGGAGTCCCCATCCCTGGAGGTGTCCAAGGAATGACTGGACATGGCACTTGGTGCTCTGGGCTGGGGGACAAGACGGGGATTGGGCACAGGGTGGACTCCATGGGCTTTTCCAGCCTCAGTGATTCTGGGATTCTGTGGTCTCGCTACTTTTGCTCAGCCAGGGCTTTCTAGAATCATCCTTCAGTCCCCAGCCCTCTCCTCACAAACCCTGTTGTGGCTGGAAGCTGAAACCCTGACAGACAAACAGTCAGACCACAATGCAGCAGCTGCTTAGAGGAACACAACAGCTTTGTCCAGGCTGAGAACACATTGCTGGGAGGGAAATGCACGGGGAGGCAAAATTAGAGCACTGGGATTGAAACAAAGTCAAAGCAACTCTGTCAAAGTAGAAAAAACAACCGCCAGGCCACAGTTCTTAACACAGCCTGGCCCTGGCAGGGACAACAGCCCAGATACACCAAACCTGGGTAACTCCTGTCCCGGCTCCTCTCACACTCTGCGAGCCCCCGGCAGCACCTCAGCCCTCGTCTTTGACCCCACAGGGCTCTAAAGCATCTGAACACAAAGGGAACCCGCACCCTGGGCTGCCCGGCACAGCCCCGGCACAGCCCGGATCCAGCAGGAGCAGGGACAGTGCCTGTCACCGGGAGCAGGACCCAGAGCGCCGCCGGCGCGGGGACACAACAACGGCCGTGCCAGCCCCGGGACCCGCGGGCGTTCGGGGCGGCTGCAGAGCACCCCAAACACCCCCATCCTGAGCCTCGGGAGAGCACGGCACGGGGAAACGAGGGCACCGCGAGGGCAGGGGAGGACAGGCAGCGACACGGGACGGGGTCGGGCAAGGGACGGGGCAGAAAAAGGCAAAACTGGGTAGAAAAAGGCAAAACTGGGCAGAGTCTGCGATGAAACCCGGGAAACACACCGGGACGGCACGCGGGGCGGAGAGCAGGGCACGGGCGGGATCCACCGGCACCGAACAGCGCGGAGATGGCGCTCGAGCCCCTCTGAGCGCCCGCACGGCCCCGCCGGCACCTCCGAACACACTGCCCGGGGCCGGGACCGGGCGGCGGGCACGGGGCAGCGCCGGGAGCCCCCGCGGGCACTCCTCAGCCGTTCCCCCCAGCGAGGCCCGTCCCGCCCGGCCCCCCCGTCCCGGCCGTACCTGGGAGCGGCGGCGGCGGCCGCAGCGCCGGTGCCCGGTGCCGGCACATCGCGGCCAGGCCTGCTCCCCGCTGCCGCCCGGTCCGGAACCGCCGCGCGCGCCGCTCCTCGGGACTTGTAGTCCCACGCACCGCCCGCCGCCCGCGCGGCCACGCCGCCCGCACTACAACTCCCGGCGGACCCCGCGGCGCGGGCGCTGCGCGCTACAACCGCCGTCGCCACTGGCTCGGCCCGGCCTCCGGCGGTAGCCAATCAGACGGCGGCAACCACCGCCTCGGGCCACGCTGCGCAGCGCTCCGCCATTGGCGCGGGGGAGCCCGGCGGCCAATGAGCGCCGGGAGGGGCGGGGCGGCAATCACGCCAACCGCTGACGATTGGCTGCGCCAACGGCGGCCTGACCAATAGCGGCGTCGGAGAGGCTATAAAGGCCGCGGCGCGGAACACGCGCTCTCTTTTTCTATGCGGAGGTGAGAAAAGGATGAAGTGTGTTACGGCGCGCGGGAAGGGAAGGGAAGGGAAGGGAACGGGGCTGGTAGCGAGGGCGGGCCGCTGATGATCCATACTGACCTTTCTGACACCTCGTCTGAGGGCGGCGGGCGGCCGCGGCCCCTGCTGAGCAGCCACGGCTGAGGCCCGCGGGAGCCGCGGCGGGGCCGGGCCGGGCGCTCGGGCTCCCCCTCACGCGCTGCCTTCTCCCCTCAGGGCTCGGCGGGAACCGGCGGCGACGCGGGACGTCCGTGCCCGGACCGCGGCTGCTCCCGGGGCTCTGAGCCGGTCAAACGCCTGTGCCGGGTGTGCTCTGTGGTAAGTGGGGCTGAGCCTTTCGGGGAAGCCGCTGCTGCTGTACAACAGAGGGGTCAGGGCGGCTCTTAAAGCACAAAGATGCGGCTGCAGAATGGGCTGGAGTACAAGAAATCATCGACTTTCACTCTCCCACGTGGGTTAGTTCCAGGTGAATGCCCTGAGTGCGATAGTGTGGGTAACTGAAAGCATTTACACTACGCCGTGTAGATCGAGAATTTAAATCTTTATTCTGCTGTGGAATATAACAGATTATTCCAGCAATGTTCTTGCCCCAGCCTCAGATCAAGTCCAGCCTTGTCATTAAACGCTTTGCTGCTGTACCAGTTTTTTAGCTTACAGGTTAATAAAGTTTTCAACTTGTTTGGCTTTTGTTTCCGTTATTCAAAAATCCCATGGGTGACATGTAAAACCACTGACTGACTTTAAACTTTATTGTTGGGCACCCAGCAGGGTGTATTGAAATAAACTGCAGCTCAGCCCAGCTCCCTTTCATTGGAATCTTGGAGTCACTTAGGTTAGAAAAGACCTTTAAGATCCAGTCCACCTGATCCCCCAGCACTGCCTGGGCCACCACTGAGCCATGTCCCCAAGTGCCACATCCACACAGCTTTCAAACCCCTCGAGGGATGGGGACTCCACCGCTGCCCTGGGCAGCTGTGCCAGGGCTCGACAGCCCTTTTTTGGGGGGGAAATTTCCCCTAATACCCAACCCAAATGGGTCACATCCCCTGGTGCTTCAGCCATGTGGATCCAGATGGGTTCAAGGCAAGTGAACTATTTGAGCGCTCTGTGCTGCTGTGCTTAGACGATCAAAACACTGCTGTAGCCACGGAGATTATAAAAAATTTTATTAACAGGAATGAACCAAAAGCTGTAAACGAGCCAGCAGAAACGAGAGCTGCGGGTGACATTGGATGCACCGAGCAATTAATGCTGCAAACAATTAATGCTGCACTGAGCAATTCCTGCAGCATCGCGTGGTGGCAGCAGAGGCCCGTGGAAAAATCCCAAATGGCCACGTGAGGAGGAGCTCTGGGGTCAGGCCACTGTGCAGGCACTGGGAGACCAGTCCTACATTGGGAACTGGTGACTGGCAGAAATGGGGCTGTTTGCTCAAAGCTTGGGTCTAATACCACAAACGTGGCTGTGAGGGCTCTGCTCTGGCAGAGTTTGCTCCCCACAGGTGGGTTGGAAATGCTCCAAAGGGAAACATTTACATCTTCACTATTAGTGGTCTTTAACTGGTTTCAGTCCCACAGTGAGCAGGGAGTGACCAGTTCTCAGCTTTGTCTCCCAGAAAGTGAGATGCCAATCTGAGAGGGAAAGCAGCAGCCTAAGGTAGGAATGCTAATCCATCAGTAATTCTAATTCATTAGGAATCCTGCTGCTAAATTTTGCCTTTAGGTAGACTCCCTGTCACCTCGGGATGGAGCTGCTGCTGCTCCCAGGGCAGGATGAGGAACCAGAGGGAGGCACAGCTCAGGGCTCAGAGCTGCCTGGCTGTTCCTGCCCCACACAAAACCAAATCCCTGGGACCCAGCAAGCTCAGGGACTCTCTGAAATCCCACTCTTTTCCTCAGGCAGCAAGTGAATGCTGCAGAGCCCAGGGTGGGATTCTAAGAAGCGTTGGGGACACCTCAGTACAGCAGCAGTGGGAGCAAAGCAAAGCTCACCCGGGCACCTGGAACAGCGAGTTCTACACATTCCTACACAGTTCCTTTCCTGAGCCCCTCTCAGAGCCTGCCCTGGGCTCTGCTACCTGCAAACAAATCTTGAGAGCACCTGCAGCAGGTAATGACACTTTTCAGGTGAAGAGAGTTGCTCCAGTTATTTTAGGGAAAGGCTCGCTGAGCAATGGACCGATGCTGCTGCTCCAGTGGGAGTGTTGGCCACTGTGCCAGTGCTGGCCATCCCTTGGATCTGTGGGATGCTGAGGGGGGAAATGGGGGGCCCTGACAGCCATCCCTCACCTGCCTGCTCCTGAGGGGCTGGCAGCAGGGTTTGCCAGGAATCCAAACATTCCTGCAGGAATGGGTTTTCCGCAGATTACTTTAAAATTTAAATCAGACAATTTTGAGACTTGTCTCTCCCTAAAAAAAAACTAGGAAAAAAAATGCTCTGTTCTCAGTAGGTTCATTTCAGGATCCTTTTTCACCCTGTGGAGCTGTAGCTGCTTGTGTTGTTGCAGCTCACAGAGGAGCTTGGAGGCTCCTTGTGCCCATCAGGAAGGGGGTGCTGGAGCCAAAATTCCGAGCAAAAGGAGGGGCAGGGCTGTCTGAGCCAGCTGCTGGGGGGGCTGGTGGTGGCTGGAGGGCAATGGATGGGTTACTTCCTTTCATGTGAAGTGGCCCACGAGGCTCAGCACAGCAGGCACCTGCTGATGTGCGAGTGGAGTTTCCAAAGGAAAAAACTGCCAAAGGCCAAACACTTCATCCAGATTCAGATTTGTACTTAGAAGTGCAGCTTGACAAAAAAACAGCCAAAAGCCTGACACAGACCAAAGGGGTGAGGAGGCCCTTGAAGAGAGCTGGCAGGAGTCTGCAGCCTGTAAAATCACTGCCTGCAGCTTCCCCCCAGCTCTCTGCAGCGAAAAGAAAGAGCTGCCCAAGAGAACTTTGAAGATATCAAAGCGTTGTTGCATCTGAAAACGCCATCACACTTACAGGAAGGTATTTAGAATAAGCTGCAATACATTAGATTTCTTCTCAATTAAAGTACTAGAAACGGCGGAAGGAGGAGAACCAAAGCCTTTCCTGAAGGGATAATTCAGGAATCTCTGTACACAGCCAGGTATGCAGGAGCTCATCCAGACAGACAGCCAAGCTCTGTGTTTGCAGGGAACAGGAGAATCCCTCACCCTGGAGGTGTGTCCCACTTCACAGGGATGCACAGACAGGAGAAAGCAACTACAAAAATGTTTGCCTTCAAACACATCCTTCCCGCACGCCCCAGGCCAGGGGCTGAATTCCAGGGATGCAGGGAAAGAAAGGGGAATTCAGATGGGGAGAAGGTGTTGGTTCCCCTGCGTCGCAGCACGACTCTCACTAAGGTAACAGCAGCCTCACAGAGCGGGCACAGCTGGCCCTGGGAGGAGACCCCAGCCCAGCCCCTTCCCAGACAGCCAAGCTCCCGGCCGGGAGCCAGGCGGGAACACCGGGGGACAGAGCCGAGTGCTCTCAGCGCCCATGGCTGGGCTGGGGCTTGGGCAGCAGCGCCCAGCACGCGGCTGCAGCATCCCAGAGAGCTCCTCCTGCTGCTGCTTCCATGGCCCACGGCGCAGCTCACCTTGGGGGCAGACACAGACACGACAGACAGACATGCACACACTGCCCACGGGAGCACGGAGGGCACGGCCAGTCTCTGTACAAACAGCGTTAGGACCTGCAGCAGCCTGAGCCTCGCACTTCCTTCTTCACGTAGTCGTGGAGCTTGAATTTGGGCTCGTTGGGCAACTTCATGGACCTGTGCTTCAGCTCCCTGTGGGAAGGGGGAACACGGTACTCCTATGCTGCCTGCTTCTGGGAGAAGGGATTTTGTCTGGAAGAAGCTGGGGAGGGACTTTGGACAAGGGCCTGGAGGGACAGGACAAGGGGGAATGGCTTCCCAGTGCCAGAGGGCAGGGTTAGATGGGATATTGGGAAGGAATTCTTCCCTGTGAGGGTGGGGAGGTCCTGGCACAGGGTGCCCAGAGAAGCTGTGGCTGCCCCATCCCTGGAAGTGTCCCAGGCCAGGTTGGACGGGGCTTGGAGCAACCTGGGCTAGTGGGAGGTGTCCCTGCCCATGGCAGGGGGTGGGACTGGATGGGCTTTAAGGTCCCTTCCAACCTAAACCATTCCAGGATTCTGATTCCAAGCTGGCCCAGCTCAGTTGAACTGAACTTGGCCAGGACACTTCGCTAAAGTTCCCCCTGATGAGACATTTCATATCTCATGTGAGAGGGCAAGTTCTTGCCAGCAAAAGAGCTGAAGGTGGGACCCAGGGCATGAAGAGGTGGGTGACAGTGCCAGCCGTTATCCTAATGGCTGCTGTGCCCCTGCAGGAGAGGTGCCCAGCACAGCTGCTGCTCCAGGCACTTACTTTGCAATGGCTGTGAACGCTAATTCCACGTTGAGGCCACTTTTTGCGCTGGTCTCCATGAAGGGCACCCCGTACTCCTGTGGGACGAGACACAGCAGCATCAGGAGTGTCACCTGCAATGTTCCCAGGGGCTCCCAGGCTCTGGCCAGTGTCAGTGCCTGCCTAGGGAGTTCATACCCTGCCATGGTGGGCAGGGAAAACTGAGCCAGGGATCACAGCTCAGGTAACTTTGAGAATAATTTTTGAGGACAAAGAAACAAGACATGTTAGTGGAAGCTTAGAGAAAGAAGATGAGGAGGAAGGGGAAAGCACAAGGGAACAAAAGCAAAGTGGTCCCAGGCGTATTTTGGGTCAGACTGGTCTCCAGGTGACCATTTCCTGGAGCACATCCTCAGGCACCTCACCTACCTTGGCAAGTTTCTCTCCATCTTCCCTTTTCACCACTCTGTCCTGGGCTGAATCCACCTGCAATGGGAACAGCAAATAGCAATTTGGGGTGATTTGGAAGGTCACCAGTAGGTAACCTCCACATCCCTTTATGCCCTGCCAGGCTCCCCTGCCCGTGGCTCCCCCGTGGGAGGAAGAGGAGGCTCTGGGAAGGTGGGGCCAGGCTCACCTTATTTCCCAGTAACATGAGGACCACGTCCTGCTGTGCGTATTCATGGATCTCTGTCAGCCAAGCCTGGAGGGAGACAGCCAGAGAGAGGGGTTGGCAACAGCCCCAGGGGGAGGAGGAGGAGAAGGGGGAGCTGCCCCAGTCCTGGGCATGGACACCCTCTGTGGGAGATGCTGCCATCCCAAGCAGTGCCAGGGATGTTCCGTGGATGAGCCCTGTAGACAAGTGGTGCCCCGGGGTGCACTGAGGGGCCCACTGTGCCGAGCAAGCCCAGCACCTGCTCTGGCTGCTACCAGACCCCCATTTCCAAGGGTAACAGCAGCCTTTCGACCCCACTGCCCGCTCTGTCTGCCCACAGGTGCCTCTAGGAATTTAACCCAAATTTCCCCTTGGTTGGGACATTCAGACTAAGCCTCCTTTTCGAGGGTAAGGCCAAGGGTTGGCTCTGGGATGTGCCCCAATGCCTGTGTCCTGCACGTGCTGCCCCCATGCCGAGCACACTCATCCCAGCAGGCCCCTGAACCTGCCTCCCTGAGCCATGGGGTGGCTTCTCTGCCTTCTAATCCAGCCTAATCTAATCAAACCTGCCCTAATTCCCTGTAATCCCTGACCCCGTGGTGTGAACAGCCACTCGCTGCCTCCCGTGCCGACACTGCGCTCACGGCAAGTGCCGTTGATTCCCAGCAATCCCTTCTCCACCATCTCCGAGTCCAGCAGCACCCTGCATCAGCACCCAGCCAGGGAAGCGAGGGATGATTCGGGATCAGGGCATGTCACTGACAATATGTGGGAGCCCAACACAGCAGCCCCAGGACCCCACCACACCCCGGGGGCTGAAGGTGCTCAGTTCCATGGGGGCAGGTCCAAGGGATGCAGTCACTCCTGACTACACCCCTCAGCTCCCTTCTGACTCCGCTCCTGCTCCACCCCTCCTTGCCAGTGCTGGCACAGGTGGCCCCCAGCAGCCACAGGGGACTGGTGGGGAGAAGGGAAGAGACACCGAGTGCCTGGGTGCTCCTGACCCCCCCACAGTGATGTGCCCAGGGGCAGCATTTGCTCCTCCCCTCTGCCAGGTTTAAGAGCCCTCTGCTCCAACACCACTCCCCAGCACCCCTGGAGGACCTGCAGGGGGTCTCAGGGTCAGCTGGGGGACTGGGGTTGTGAGCAGGGGGCAAACTCGGGCAGCACAAGGGACCCCCACAAATGCCATCAGTCAGGAGGGGCAGGTGGGCTGGGGATGGGCAGCAGGATGTGACCCTCTCCCTGCCAGGTCTGGCACTAAGGTGGGGGACAATGAGGTCCCCAGTCCCTACCGGCTGGGACCCAAAGGAGCAGAGGGGAACAAGGGAGCAGCTTGCTGGGGAAAGCTGCCCATGCTCAGCTACTGCAGCAGGTTCTGTGCCAGTGCTGTAATTACACAGGTTAATTGACCAGAGCAGTGAATCCATCACCCCTTTTATTTGCTGTGAGAGGGAAAACCTTCTCCACCTGTGCCCTACCTGTCCTTGCAAGTGCTCAGAATTCACGGAAGCCCTTCTATAAGTGCCCACAGCTCCTGCCTCTATCACACCCCTCCTCCAGGTACTCCCTTCCCTGGGCCAACCTGAAGCCAGCCCGGCAGGAGGGGCCGGGGGTGCTGCCGTACCTGGATGTTGTCAAAGGACGCTTTGTTGGTGACATCGTAGAGCAGGAGCAGAGCTGTGGAGAGAGGGAAGGGCATTAGTGCTGGCTCTGCACCGGTCCCCGTGGCAGGTCACCCCTGGGGACAGCAGGTCCCTGCTGGGAAATGTAAAACAACACTAAAATCCACCACAGCAACACCTCACGCTGCTGGTGTGTTTGCACCTCGACACGCAGAGCCTCCTCCATCCTGGGCGGCTGCTTCCCACGGGGAAACTGCCCCGGCGATTCCCGACTCACCTGGCCTGGAGTGGCAGCTCCAGGGGGCTCCCCCGGGAGCAGAGGTGGCCGTGCTTACCGTGGGCATCCCGGTAGTAGGCGTGGGTGACGCTGCGGAAGCGCTCCTGCCCGGCCGTGTCCCAGATCTGGAAAGCAGACGGGAGCAGAGGGATCAGACGTGACCAAGACCCACCAAAACCAGCCCAAACAGCACGGTGCAATCCCAGGAAGCCTCTCCAGCTTTTGCTTCCAGGGACACCAATAGGAAAAACAACAAGAGCAATAAATATGGAAGCAGCACCTCCCCACTCCTCAGCGCAGGGACACGACAATGAGTGGCCGAGGGCTCCTGACACGGCCCTTAATCGGAAAATCCATGGATCAGATGGATGCATGGGGACTTGCTAATGTGATTTATCAGTCTTTAATGCAGCAGGAGGTTTGCAGAGTGCCACGCTGCTGCTGGGGAGGATCCATGCTAATGGTGTTACTGAGCTCTGGGCAAATGGTCAGGTCTCGGGGGGCTGGAGCAGCTTTGGACACAAAATCTACATTTCCCAAGGGCTGGATGCTGGCTGAGCCAGGGAATGTGGATCCCTTCAAGCATCACCATCCTTTGGCTCTGCCAAAGCAGGAGCTGCCTGGAAAAGCTGATCAAACCCCACATGTGCTGCTCCAGTTTCACTGTCTCCAGCTGCAGTCACAGAGCAGCAGGGAGGCAGCGGGGCTGGGACACAGATCACCATGGCCAGAGCAGCCCCCAGCCCTGAGCAGGCTCTCACCAAAGGGACAGAGCAGCCAAAAGGCCTGCAGGGCTGTCCTGTGGCAGGAGACACAACGGCAAAGGCTGGAGAAGGGGGACCCGTGTCAGGGGTGCTCCTCTGCTGAGGGGCTTTGCCCAGCTCCCAACAGCCAGAGGGACAAGGGAGCTGCTCCCAGGGCCACAGAACGTACCTGCAGCTTCACCTTCACCCCATCCACCGTCAGCACCTTGTTCTGAAAGAAAACAGAAAGGGTGGTGAGGGGTGAGTGTGGCTGCGAGACACCCAGGACCCCAGGGAGAAACAAACACCCGGCCCCCCATCCCGGACAGAGTTTCACCAAACCCTTGGGCTGATCCCTCTCCTGCTTTTTAAACTGGCACCCATCGGTCCCAGTGCCTGCAGAGCTGTTTGCACCATGGCCCAGCCAGAGGATCCCTCCCTGTTTCACCACAAGCTGCATCTATTTGGGTACCTAAACCCTGATGGTGCCACGAGTGGCTTGGGCTGGAGACCTCTGGCCATAAATTAATGAGCACCAGCATCCCACCTTGCCAGCCTTCAAAAGACAGAGCCAACCACTCCATATCCAGTCAGCAAATTAAAAATAACTCCTCCTGCCTCTCGTACCTGTTTTTCTCCTGATTTCTCTCTCATTTTTTTCCCCCTGGTTTTCTTGGTTTTAGGAAAGGTGGAAAGGAAGAGGGGAAGGGGCACACCGGGTTTTCCCCAAAACAACGGGATACTTTCTGCAGAAGGATGTCCTGGCAGAGTTGGGAGCAGTGTGGGGAGCCCACTGGTGCCCCTCCAGGCGGCTGTGCTGGACAGTGAGGGCAGGGGACAGATCCTGACCGTGTCCCAGAGCAACCACCAATCCAGCAAGCCTCACCAGGCTCTCCAAACACGAACCAAACACAACCCTACAGACCAGCAGTCCCAGGCGAAGGAGCAGAGATTAATTTGCCTGCCAGATGCATAGAAATTAGCACAGTAATCATTGGAATGTGCTGGAAATGCGGCCAAGGAACAGCGCACCAGTGGGATGAGGCAGCCGGTCACTGCTCTGGTGATGATTTGAGTCCCATTTCCTCCCGAACTGGCATGGGGTGCTTCCCTCTCCCCAGGCACGTGGCCATGGGATGGTCAAGGCTGTCCTGACCCTGGGCTGGGCTCCCCCACCTCAGCCCTGGCTCACCCACCTCCAACACTGGACACACCACCAGCTCCGGTGCCACCAAACCCCTCCAGGCACGGGCCGAGATCCATCCCTGCACATCCCACACTGCTCAGCACCAAGGACCAGGCACCTCGGGGTGCTGGTGCCTGTCCTCACCCACCAGGACAGTGCTGCTGAGGCTCTTCATTGATGGTTGTAACGAGGGCACAGGGAGCATCTCGCTTCCTGCACATCTACACTCGGATAGAGGCAAGGAGGAGAGGGCAGGAGGAGCCGGAGCGCTGCATCCACCATCTGCTCAGGCAGGCGCAGGGGAGACGGTCGAGGTTTATAAATACCTTCAAAGGCAGCGACTGAGACGGGGGAGCAAAGTGATTCACAGCCCAGGAACGGTAAAAATAGGCAGCCAGGGTGTGGGGTGGAGGAGCTGGAAAGTAGTTGGGGAGCAGCCGGGGGCTTGGGGAGCTGGCTGGGGGCTTGGAACTCACCAAACACAGAGCTGAGCCTTTCCTGAGATGGGAAGCCAAGGCTGCTGAAGGCTTGAAGTGCCTAAAACCCAGGGTTCCCACTGCCATGAGGTGCCTCCTGGACCTTGGTGCCTCTGCCCAGGGCTCCCAGGTGAGTACAGACAAGAGCCATCCCCAGGGTGGGACTGTGTGCCGTGGTGATGCTGCTGAGTGTGTCCGAGCTGCACCTTCACCCTCATCCCAGAGGAGGCACAACAGCTCTGCCCAGCCCCTGTTCTGCAGGTGAGACAGGGCAGGTTTACAATCTGCAGAAGATCCACTCTGAGCTCACCTTCCCCCCAGGTCACAGAATCACAGACTGTGCTGACTTGGAAGAGACCCACAAGGACCATCGAGTCCAACCCGTGGCTGCTGCCCCAGGGAGGCACCGGCACATCCTGCAGGGTGCAGGGGCTGGGAGCCCCGGGCTCTGCGCTGGCACAGCGTTTGTCCAAATGCCATTCCCAGTTGGCAACAACCAGCTGCCAATACCACCTGCCAGGGACTGTGCCAGGGCCACCATGCCAGGGGCTGCAGAGGAAGGAAAACACTCGGCACTTCCCCATCGGCCCTGGATCTCGGCACAAGCACCTTGCAGGGGAAAAGGACACCTGGTGTGATAGATGACGACAAGGGCACCAGGAGCTTCACGTTAAAACCAGCACCAAAGAGGTGCCCTTCCCCACAGCAACACAGCACACCCAGCTCAGAGCAGTGTGAGGCTGTGCCCGGGGACACGGCCATGTCCCCAGGGTGGCCGTGCTCCAGGGGTGACTGACCACCACGAGTGGGAGGGAGAACATGGCCCAAGCCCTGAGCATGGACCATCTGAGCCAAAGCCACCTTGAAGCATCTAGTGAGCAGCCAGAAAAGGTGAAGCTCCAAAGCTGCCCTTCATGCACTGACCTGCACTTCAAGAGTTAATTAACACAGAGCTGGCAGCAGCAGGAGTGACACTAATTATGACTGACCTACATTTTAGGGGGGGAAATGCTTAGACCTAATTAAAGTCTGCACATGGATCCAGGTGCTGCTGGACCAGGCTGGGAAAAAAAATGGATTTCCTGGGGTTTGGGTGTGGAACAGAGCAGGTTTCCAGGGCAAGGAGCTACAGAAATGCTCCTGCAGGCAGGAGACACAGCCAGAGCCATCCAGAGCATCACTCCTGCCGGACCCCTGCCTGCATCCCAGAGACATTTGCCAAGAGAAACTGTGGCTGCCCCACCCCTGGAAGTGTTCAAGCCCAGGCTGGACAGGGCTTGAAGCAACCTGGTCTAGTGGAAGGTGTCCCTGCCCATGGCAGGGGGGTGGATTAAGGTCTCTTCCAACCCAAACCATTCCAGGATTCTGAGACCCCTGGCTGCCCCCAGGCACGAGTTGGCTGCAAAACATGGGTGAAGAAGGCAAGCAGAAGGTAGGAGGAGCAGGATGGGAAAAGGCAGGATCTGGGGTGGGAAAGGGCAGGAGCTGGGGTGGGAAAGGGCAGGAGCTGGGGTGGAACGAGGCAGCTTCCAGCAGCACAAACTGGTGTGGTTCAGATGAATCAGATGCTCAAGTCTCCCCCCATACCATGGCTAAAAGACTTTCCAGCTTCCAATTATTATTATTATTTTTTTAAGGAGCTGCCTCAATTCCCTCCTGACAGCCTTTCCAAGGCACAGCTGGGGGCTGAGCTACTAATAAGCATCCAAAGACAAAAGATGACGTGTGTCAATGCACTGAGACATGAAATGTGCTGCCAGCCCTGCGGGCAATGGGAGTGCTTGTGGTGCTCAGGGCTCATTCCTCATCTCACACAGTTTGTTATAACAGAGGTAACACTCCCAGCAGCCTCCTGCCACACAAATTCGGGCAGGAAAACCATCCCTGCGACTCAGCTCTGCTGTTGCCCTTCCCAATTTCAGATTTTAATGTGTCTTTTTTCCTGGGGCGGTGACAATGTTATTAAAATCTCGTCTAGCAGGGGCTGCAGTGGAATGCCTGGAGTGCCTGGGCTGGAGAACACGAGGCTCCAAAGTTAAATAATCCTCAGGATGTCAGATAAACAAAGTTGGAACCTTGCAGATGTAGGAAAAATCAAATTACCAAGTGCAGATGGTCCTCAATTAAGAGCAGCATTATCGACACGCCGAGGCCCCGCTGGCTGCAGCCCTGGCACGATCCCACCCCCTGCCCGGGAGCAGCCATTTGGAAGCAGAAAGGATGGAGGAGAAGGTGATGGAACAAAACCACATTCCCCAAAACATCCACCCTGCAGCAGATGCTCCCACCCAAATCAAGGTGCTGCTGCCCTGCTCTGCTCTCGGGGCAGCTGCAGGATGGGGAACTGCCATTCCCCTGGTCCACAGCGTCCCCACGGTCCGGGTGAAGCCCACTGGGAACGACCAGCACAGCCCAGCCCAGCCCCAGGTCCCTGAGCCCACGCCAGGGAAGGCTGCAGCACCACCCAGGGTCAGAACCACAGACAACCCGGCCTCCCCCAGCTTTTCCACACATTAACTCATTAGGCAAAGCCTTAAAAGTTAAATTGGATACATGGATTAATTTGCTTCACAATCGAGTGGACTAATGGGAGCTGCTCACTGACACCGCTCAGGCTCCAACCAGGGGAGCCCCCACCCTGGCTCCCCGGAGCCTCTGGTGGCTGTTGGCTCCAGGAGCTGCCCAGGAGCACCCACCATCACCCACCCACCCGAGCACACACGGTGCCGGGGGCTCCACTTTTACCATGGAAAAGAACCCCCTCAAATGTCATTACTGGGCCTTGGAGGCAGCTCCTGCGGCCAAGTGGGGGAGAATTCCTGCCAAAATGGGAACAAATGGCTTCAGTGACTATGGATCAAACCAGGCTCCAGGCAGCAGCTGAGTTAATTAGTGGCAGTAATGAGCTGTGGGACTGACAGTGCAGCCACCCAGAAATGTCATTAGGTTGTGGTGTCACCCGGGGCAGGTGGCTGCCAGGTCCCCATCGCCGCTCAGGGGTGGGTGACAGACTGGGTTATCCTTTATTCTAGGAAGCCAGGAGGAACCCAGCAGCAGCAAACTGGCTGAAGGGATGCTGGAGCACCCCAGCCCTGTGCCAAGGCAGGACCTGGATCCAAATTCCCCTGCGAGCACAAATGCTCCTGTGCCAGGAGGAAATGGGATGAGTTGTGATGGGGCTGCAGCAGACACACAAATAACCACCACCTCCAACAGCGACTGCAAAAATAGATTAAGGATCGATATGGAAACCTGCCCAAAACAGCAGGACACTGCATTAAATTTGCTCGTTAAAACCCTGAGGTTTTCCCACACATGCGCTTGCGGCTGCCAGGGAGTTGGTCCTTGTGGCTCAGCATCTCCCCAGGCACAGCACCTGGCTCAGGGACATCCTGGCCCTTTGCCAAGGCCAGGGATGAAGGAGCATCCCCCCCTTTGCCCCCTCAGTAGAAATAGTGCTCCAGTGTTGGTCCCTCCAAATTCAAGCCATGCTCGTTCTGCCAGGCCATGGGGCAGCGGGTCTGGCACTGCTGGGCCATGCAGTGCCTCCATGGAAAACACAGCCAGCCC